GAATACTAAAAGCTGAATGTAAAGAAATACTAAAAGATGAATGTAAAAGAATACTAAAAGATGAATGTAAAGGAATACTAAAAGCTGTATGAAATAGAATACTAAAAGATGAATGTAAAGGAATACTAGAAGCTGAATGCTTAGAATACTAATAGATAAATGTAAAGGAATACTAAAATATTAATGTAAAGGAATACTAAAAGATTAATGTAAAGGAATACTAAAAGATGAATGTAAAGGAATACTAAAAGATTAATGTAAAGGAATACTGAAAGCTGAATGTAAAGGAATAACGAGCAAAGTATAACTGTATCGAATATATGAGAATTGAAGTGTATGGATTAGATAAATGTGATTGGCACGTAATATAGGTTTAGATTTAAGGACCACGGATCCGAACCATATAGAATATAACATATATTTACATATTGTAATTTGTTAAGATAAAATCTGAATAAAAAGATATTTTGGAACCATCATCTAAAACTTTAATACAGTGTATTTCTAAAAAAGCGATAATGTATATATATAAGTAAGAGGACTTTATAGTGTTCTAAGATTTGTTCCTTCAAACAAATTTATGTGTTTTGACAATAATGGATCAATATAAGATACTAGGCTTTCTATTTAAATTGTGAACATGTTATTTTTGTTTACATTTTAAAACAATTCAAGGTATTTAAATTTGTTTACAAAATTAAAAACCTTTAAAACACAAATTTTTAAAATTTGATCATTCATAAACCTTCCCTGTGGTCCCACACAAAATTTGGGCCCGATCGGTTCAGCCGTTTTGACGTTTATTGGATAAAATAAACAGACAGACAAGCTAAATTTATAAGATTGGAGGAATCAAGAAGATGGTAGGAATCAAGAAGATGAGAGGAATCAAGAAGATGGGAGGAATCAAGAAGATGGGAGGAATCAAGAAGATGGGAGGAATCAAGAAGATGGGAGGAATCAAGAAGATGGTAGGAATCAAGAAGATGAGAGGAATCAAGAAGATGGGAGGAATCAAGAAGATGGTAGGAATCAAGAAGATGGGAGAAATCAAGAAGATGGGATGAATCAAGGAAGAGGGAGAAATAAACAAGATGGGATGAATCAAGGAAGAGGGATGAATCAAGGAGGAGGGAGAAATAAACAAGATGGGATGAATCAAGGAAGAGGGATGAGGCATGAAAGAGAAATAAGGGTTACTCAGTGAGGAAGAATACAATAAAGGAAGGAGAAGGGAAGGTGGGAGGGGGGCGGTGACAGCATGGTAAATATACATATTATTCATTTTTTATCTATCTAACATTTACATATTGTGCAGTGTGCTATATTGAGTCCAGTTTTAGTTCAATGTTCACTGTATTCAACTGTAATATATACATTATGTGGAACCAATCGGATAAAAATAGTTTGATCGTCTATTTATCAGTAAATTAATTTTGTGCAGAGGCCTGTTTTTAGATAATTGAAAAAAATATAAACATTATTCACAAAAAAAAATTCTAGAAAGCCTTCAAAAAATTCATATATTATTGAACAAATTCGGCCGGGCAAATATTCAGTAAATTTCATAGTTTTGTCTCTAACCAAAAAATCTGTATTAAAAAAGAAATTGATTTTTAAACGACAAAAATAATTTTTTTTTACAGCAGAGGAAATATATTTTGTCAATAAAATCATTTAAAAATATATTATTATATTTCTTATTATTTCTTGTATGAATAAAAAGACAATTCCTAGGTTCGCTAGGTTTGGGATTAAAGAAATTGAATTATTTACAAATACTTTATTCGGACTGTTGTTGGAGAACTTGAAAAATTGCAATAAATCTATTTAACGAAGGTTCCCGAGACTAATTTGATTTAAAGCATACATGATGTACCCAATTTTGCAATTTAAAAGTAGCTTTGGGTAAATATCCCAGAGGATATATGATATATGCCAGAACGAGCGGCAAATATGTTTCCATTGAAATCTTCAATAATTAACTTGTGATATTAATCTGATAGACTTTATATTGTAGTTTTTTTTATAAATTAAATTGTACACTCTTGCTGCAAGATAAATGTAAGATGTTGATAAAAACATTACACAAGTAGATATTATCATTCTAGTTCATGTAAACAGTATAAATGTAAGATGTTGATAAAAACAAGTAGATATTATAATTCTAGTTTATATAAACAGTATAAATGTAAGATGTTGATAAAAACATTACATAAGTAGATAATATAATTCTAGTTTATATAAACAGTATAAATGTAAGATGTTGATAAAAACATTACATAAGTAGATAATATAATTCTAGTTTATATAAACAATATAAATGTAAGTTGTTGATAAAAACATTACATAAGTAGATAATATATTCTAGTTTATATAAACAGTATAAATGTAAGTTGTTGATGAAAACATTACAGAAGTAGATATTATAATTCTAGTTTATATAAACAGTATAAATGTAAGATGTTGATGAAAACATTACATAAGTAGATATTATAATTCTAGTTTATATAAACAGTATAAATGTAAGTTGTTGATGAAAACATTACATAAGTAGATAATATAATTCTAGTTTATATAAACAGTATAAATGTAATTGTTGATGAAAACCACCAAAATCAATAAATTCTACTCATCTATACAACAAAGCATTGTCATAATTCACCCTTCACACCAACCCCCTTTTTCCTTTCATAGAAAATAAACATTTTCACCCTTCCTCCATTAAGACCCTCCACCTCCCCTTACCTTACACCCCCACCTCCCCCTACCTTACACCCCCACCCTTCCTTTACAAATACAGAAAATCCCGATTAACTAGAAAATATAAAAGGAATCAATAGACTTTTCATTGATTTGTGCAAAATTCATATTATTCCTAAAGGGTCTTCTTTTTTTACTTTATTAATTACTACAATTTAATTTTGATAAAACATTGTTGTCATTTCTAAAATGATTGAATTTTAATTTAAAAAATCTTTGCTTGAACATAATCTATCGGTAATCACAATAACAGTTTAAATGCTGTAAAGTAGAAGAAGAACGGATGTCTCATTAAATTACTCGTTGCTCAGTACTCACCCTAAACTCTATTTTTTAAACCAATATGTTGAGTATCTAAAATCTAAAACGTTTGATCTCGATATCCCATGATGATATAATCCGCAGTTCTGCAGAAGATCCCAAGATTCAGAACACAACCTTCAGATGCAGTAAACCTTTGATATTTCAAACTATTTGTTATGCCATATCAAATATCAATGTTTGAGATATCAAAGGTTACACCATCAAGTTCAAAAAGATATCGGAATGCAAAATCAAAATTTAAGGCGATTGGCCAGTTCGTGAGATGGACCTCTCTAATTGATGTATATTTGTGAATTTAAAAAACCAAAAACTTAAGATTGAAATCTATTCCATTAATATAAAAAGTTTCTTGGCAGAGCGCATAAATATTCCTTTTCAAAACTTTATTGAACCCATTTTAAACAGTCTAGTATACAAACAGGGATACCAACAAATATATTCAGTCTTATTTTTTATTTTTTTAAGTTCGCTGCTGCAATTTTACTCTCTCATCAATTTATTTCATTTCAGAAGACTGCATATTCATTTTTAAATATATGTATTTAAAGAGTTAAAGGTATGTTATTATTTCTTTGGTAAAAACGATGTTAAAAATTTGAGCTTAATTTTCTAAAAAAAATTTTAATTTGGGGTTAAAAAGGAAAACTTTTCAGATGTTAACAGAACTGTAACAATTATTTCAAAAAATGTTAAATGAAAAGCCTAAAAAAGATTGATTTTATCATTTATTTCTTACTAATTTCCAAACAACTATTTATTTTAGTAACAATAGTTTTGATTATATGTATATTTACATTATTCACTGTTCAAATCTAGAATGAAACTGCAGGATACGATATTACAACGGGTCACAGTAAATATAATATTTAAATATATAGATACTTGTAAATATTAAGAATATACGACAGAAAAATGTCTATACGAGTAGTTAAATTGAAAAGTAACAAACTGAACTATTGCTTCAAACCCTAGCTTTCCAATGCGTTTATCTTTGTAACCTGATGTCGTAAACCTAGTCAAAGTTTGAAAATATCAAAGATTTACATCATCATGTTTCAACGCTATAGCAATAAGAACATTTAAGTTTTGGACAAGTTTTCAGTTCCTTCGGTAGGTTTAAAATATCACGTGACTTAAGCAGTTCGCAAACACGAGTACTAGATTTCAATAACTTACATACAGGGTGTCACAAAACATGACAGTTGGTAAATAGTTTAGAATGTCTTCTTCTATAATTTGTTTAATTGTTTAATACCAAAGACAATTATCAAAATATTATGTAGGAGTCATGTTATCGTAAAATTAATTTCAAAGTAAAATATATTTGATTTTTTAAAAGAAAGAAATTACTTAAAGCCTTTGCTATCTAATACAGTGTATGGAAGACGACATTCAAAACTATTTACCAACTATCATGTTTCGTGGGACACCCTGTACATTATTCTTATTCAATAATCTTAAAGGGAGTGAGCGAAAAATGAAAGAGGGTATAGGCTTACTGCGAAAAATAAGCGCTTTTGATCGCTACTAATCTTACTTCTATCGGTTGCGTCTATAAGGAGAAAATTGTTAAAAACGACTCATACCGAAGAACGTAGCGTCCATACAAATTCAACTGCGGATCGTCAAAAAATTAATTTAATTCCAAACAAATCGTTCAGATATTACAACCAATAATCATCGTTAATTTTTGTTGCATTCCTATTTAGTTGATATTTCATAATATTGTTATTTTTTATAATCTGATAGTTACTTTTGAAAACATTTATTCCTGTTTCGAGGGTTTTTTGATAATGAAGACGACATTTTCATATTTTCCAAGAATGTTCGAAAATCCAGCGCTAGCGAAATATTATTATCAAAATTATTATGAAACATTATAACTATATACGAATGCGTCGATAAATAATCGATTACCATTGTTTGTAATATCTAAATGATTTGTTTGGAATTAAAATGATTATTATACGATCCGAGTTGAATGTTGTAATTTTCTAAGTTTGTCTTGACGCTATACGTTCTTTAGCATCAGTCTTTTTTACTAATTTTCTCTTTATAGACGCAACAGATAGAAGTAAGATTAGTAGCGATCAAAAGCGCTTATTTTTCGCCTATACCCCTTTCATTTTTCGCGAACACTCCATTTAAGGAAAGCCTTAATGCTGTAGTTTATAAATAAGATGATCTTAATCGACTTTGTGTCTCCGATGTATGCCAGCTTGGTCACGTGATACGGCAAACCGGATTTCCTTTTCTGTACTACTCCGTCGTCTTCACTCGTTTCACTTAAAAGAACTTTCCTCGTTTTCCGTACGGAAGGATAACAATAAAGATTGCTGTGGAAAGGGTGGTTATCAAGAAAAATCCCCAAAACAACCATTTGTCAATTATCTCCGCCAACATCCGCCATTCGCGGCGGATGAGATCGTCTTTGTTTTGTTGATCCTCCTTCTCGAGGAGGAGTTTGAGCACCTTGTACAGATCCTCGTCAGGTGCCAGGATTCCCTTCACATCATCTTGCTCCTGGTATAGTTCAGGAGCAATTATTTTACAAAAAATATTAAAGAAAATATATCGGCCAAAATAGTAAACAGTAAGCAGTAACTCGATTACAGATTTAAAATTCAAAGATTCCTAAACGATCTTATGTTGAAGTTTTCTTTTTTCAACTTTGCAATATCTTTCGCTTAAAAATCCAAAACGGTCGTTACACCACGTTCGTTATTGCATCTTAGACCACGTTCGTTATTGCATCGTTATTGGGTCGTTTTGTGCATATATCTTCAGGGTCCATATTTTACAATGAGTGAGAAAACTTGAAAAGTAAGAATTAAAAAATAATTTAAAAAACATTTGCACATTTCAGGGTCAAATTTTGACCTTGAAAGAAGCGAAACAATAACGAACCTTAACATGAGCTCTTTGATCTTGGTTAGTTGATGAAAGAAATACATTCATATTAACAAAAAGATTGTTGACCTAAAATGTGGTCTAACGTCATTTTTATACATAAAATGAAATTTTTGGGTTTGTTATATGTTCACCAACAACCAAAAATAGTAAATAGTTTTAAACTGAAGCTAAAAACAGGGTCCTTGCAGTATTAAAACGTAGATGTCTAGCGCTACAAAAAAGTAGAAGTGAATTAGTGAGGTAAAACCAAAAGTCGACGCGGCCTTAAAATCTGATAACTTTCATAGATATCTGTGAAATGAGACAAAACTTGCAATATTTGAATCAATTTTAATAATGAAGGAGACGAAAAAGGAAAAATTCAAATAATGAAATAAAAAACGTTAATTTAATCCTGACCTGATGGTTTTGTCCGTGAATATTATTGCTTGAGTTTGGTTGAGCATCCATGAAAGGAAGAGTTTCTACTTCTATACTTCTAGCTCTAGGGAGCTGAAGCTGAAGGGAGGAGAGGCGCGGAGAGCTAGGAATTGTTCCATTACTTTCATCTCTGTACACCAAGCAACCAGTTAAATAAGTTTCAAACCCTTAAAGTTCAACTTCCTAAGCAACAATCTTGGTTACAAAGTTTAGAAGGATAACAATCATGGCGTTTTTTTTACCTCTTAATTCTTTCCTTTTAAAACTGGGCCATTAACGTTTAAATAAGTATTTGCTGATGTCTTTATAGCCAAAAATTAAAACCAGTAATTTAATAATAAAACTACCGATTTCATAAACTGCTGCTTTAATTATAATCTTTTTGCTTAAACTATTTATTTTATAAAGTGCTGTAAACACTTCTGACTTTATAAACTGTTGCTAAAACATTAACAACTGATTTTATAAAATGTTGCTAAAGCAACTTATGTAATAAAATATTGCTTAAATTACTTTTTTTTATAAACTATTGCTAACACTACTGATTTTATAAGATGTTACTGAAACTACTTTTTTATGAATTGTTATAAAAATAATAATTTTATAAACTATTGCTAAAACTACTGATTTTATGAACTGTTGCTAAAATTACTGATTTTATGAACTGTTGCTAAAACTACTAATTTTATAAACTGTTGCTAAAACTACTGATTTTATGAACTGTTGCTAAAATTACTGATTTTATGAACTGTTGCTAAAACTACTAATTTTATAAACTGTTGCTAAAACTACTGATTTTATGAACTGTTGCTAAAACTACTAATTTTATAAACTGTTGCTAAAACTACTGATTATATGAACTGTTGCTAAAACTACTAATTTTATAAACTGTTGCTGAAACTATCGATTTTACAAAATGTTGCGAAACAAATAATTTTAAAGACTGTTGTTTTTAAAACTACTGTTTTTATAAACTGTTGCTAAAACTTCCGATTTTATAAAAAATGTTGTTAAACAAATAATGTTGTAAACTGTTTGTTACGACTATTGATTTTATAAATTGTTGCTAAACTATTGATTATAAAAACTGTTGCTAAAACTACTGATGTTAGAAATGGTTGCTGAAAATACTGATTTTATAAATGATTGTTAAAACTATAACTGATTTTTTTTAAAACTGTTTCTAAAAACAACTGAAGCTGAAAAAAAACTTCTGATTTTATAAAGTTTTGCTTAATATTGCTAAACTGATGATTTTATTTTCTAATCCAAACAGATTTTTTAAATGATTTTATAAGCGCTCCAAATATATATATATGTGTGAGTATAGAATAATAGATAGTTATTGGTTTTGCAAGGAAATGTTCTCTACGTATGGTTAGTGCAAAATTGCAGAGTTTTATCTTTATAGCTTTGAATAAAAAATATTCAATGGTCCTTCTACTGGTAGTGTGAGGGCCTAGATAAATATTAGAAAAACTGGTGAAATGAAATTGGGAATATAAAGACCAGGATATATGGACAGAAAAAACGGATGAGATATGAGCTTTAAAATTTATACTCTGCACTTGTATTGCTTGGATTCTTTTCCCTTCTCACTTCTCCACTCCCTACTCCAAAATTTAAACAAATTCTCATCCTACTCCTAGATACCAAACCTACTACTATTTTACTCCATCCTAATCCTACTCCTAGATACCAAACCTAATCCTACTCCTAGATACCAAACCTACTACTATTTTACTCCATCCTAATCCTACTCCTAGATACCAAACCTATTACTATTTTACTCCATCCTAATCCTAGTCCTAGATACCAAACCCACTACTATTTTACTCCATCCTAATCCTACTCTTTCACCCTTAACCTAATCTATCCTAATCCTTCTCTTCGAAAGACATAATTATTATTATATTATTAACCCTAAACCTATCCCATCTTACTCTTTCATGATCCTTCTTACAAGCTCTAGATCTATGCTATGCTACTCTCTCCTAATCCTACTCTCCTATCCTAGACATGGCCTATCCTACTCTTCAACCCTAAACATGTCCTATCCTACTCTTCAACCCTAAACATTTCCTATCCTACTTTTCAATCATAAACATGTCCTATCCTATTACGTCCCATTCATTCTCTTCAATCTCAAACATATCCTATTCTACTCAACAATCCAATACATGTCCTATCCTACTCTATTCTAATCGTTATCTTCAACCCTAGCCTGTCCTACTCTACTCCCTTATAATCCTATTTTTTGACCCAAAACATATTCTATTCTACTTTTCAATCCTAAACACGTCATATCCTACACTATCCTAATCTATCTCTTCAACTCTAAACCCGTCATATCCTACACTATCCTAATCTATCTCTTCAANTGTCCTATCCTACTCCATCCTAAACCTGTCCTATCCTACTCCATCCTAAACCTGTCCTATCCTACTCCATCCTAAACCTGTCCTATCCTACTCCATCCTAAACCTGTCCTATCCTACTCCATCCTAAACCTGTCCTATCCTACTCCATCCTAAACCTGTCTTATACTACTCAATCCTAAACCTGTCCTATCCTACTCCATCCTAAACCTGGTCCATTCTACGCTCGCCTAATCGTACTTTTCAATCCTAAACCCATCTTTTCCTACTACATCCTATTCCTCCTATTCAATACTGAATCTATCCTACCGAACTGTATCGTATAAAAGAGAATATTTTTCTAGTTAATGTTTAGTGAAATAACCCTGAGCTCAGCATTATCTGTTGATACCAGCTTCAGAGAACAAATTCACAGAAGAGAAATTATTACAGAGTTAACAGACACGTGGCACGTGGCACGTGTCGACGTTTAAACCTTTTAAACTCAAATAATAGCAAAACAAACAACATATGATTGTAGAGATCAGATTTAATGAATAGAGAGAAGTAGTTAAACCATATCTCTTGTGCGCCGTTTAAAAAATTTATAAGAAGAGGTTAAACTAAGTTTATGTGACTCAACTACGTCTTGATATACATACAATTGGTTTTTGAGAAAAAAAACCTTCATCTCCGTAGTCTCCACAATGTGTGGTCTACGTTGCCGATGCTTTCTAATAATCATATTTATTAGAAAATTAAGTAAAAAGCAGAGAATAATAATACAAATATACCCATGTAAAACTTTCCTATTAAATCAAATCAAATGAATAAAATTGTGTATTTTCCAAATATAGCTCTGTAAATTGTTAAATCTCTTCCCAGGAATCAATATCATATCCTTCTCAATAAATTAAATACAAAATAGATTACTCTAATCAAAATTTTGAAAAATTTGTTTGAAGGTTATATGATAGAGAATAGAAAATTGAAGAAATCTTTGTTTTAGATCGGTAATTTGTCTATCTGTCTATTCTGTGTTCTATAACCACTTGTCTTGTTCTGTCTGTGTATTCTGTGTTCTATAATCACTTGTTTTGTTCAGCTGTTTATTCTGTGTTCTATAACCACTTGCTTTGTTCTTTCTGTTTATTCTGTGTTCTATAAACACTTACCTTGTTCTATTGTGCATCAGTCGGTGTTCTATAAATACCATTTTTTGCTCTATCTATGTAATACTGCATGTTCTATAATTACCTATATTGTTCTATCTATGTATTCTGTGCTCTATATTCACGATGTAATGGTATGTATTGAGCCCGTTGTTTGTTTAGAAAATAACCCGTTTATTCAGCTTTTAGTAGAAAACAAACTAGAATTTAGTTTAATGTTCTTTGTTCGACCTGCTTTTTAAATCTTTAACCAATCACATAAAAGCAAAATGTAAAAAAATAGTCAAATCTAATCATTATTAATTTGAACGCCAAAAAGTTTTCAGAATTTAATAAAAAATTGTTTATAATTTGCAAAATACAGTGTTCAAAGTACAGTACACACTGTATACTGTGCACTGTATAATGTGCACTGTAAACTACACTGTATTCTGTACACTATAAACTACTCTGTATTCTATGCACTGTAAAGCTGCACACTTCATAAGCTGTGTACTTTATACTGTTCACTGTATACTGTGCACTTTAAACTACACTTTATACTGTAAACTGTATAATGTGCACTGTAAACTGCACACTGTATAAGCTGTGTACTTTATACTGTACACTGTATACTGTGCACTGTAAACTGCACACCGTATAAGATGTGTACTTTATACTGTACACTGTATACTGTGCACTGTAAATTGCTCACTGTATAAGCTGTGTACTTTATACTGTAACTGTTTACTGTGCACTGTAAACTGCACAGTGTATAAGCCAAAGAATTATAATGTAAACATAGTTATTCACAAGGAGAATTGAATACAAGGAGGGGGCAATAGGGTTTCCGTACACTTTGCTGTGACGTTTTTGGACTGCTGGAGAACTAGTTTTTGCGTAACAACAATTAACGGCAGCCGATCTAATGTAAACAAACATGAGTTAATATACGGTGAATCTTCATCTAACGCCAGAGATGCATCAAATGTCTGTTTATCATTTGTGTTATTGTTTGCAATCTTTATTATTGTTGTTACGCAAAAACTAGTTCTCCAGCAGTCCAAAAACGTCACAGCAAAGTGAACGGAAACCCTATTGCCCCCTCCTTGTATTCAATTCTCCTTGGTTATTCAGAGGTGTACGAATTTTTTGTACTGCAGTGTACTGTCTTTGAACGGTACGGTAAAGTAAACGCAATACGGATGTCACAGCCTAACATGGGATCCATTTTCACATTAAAAATCAAAGGAAACTATTATGAGAATTATCAAAATTATCAAAATTAAATGCTTTTAACCTCCTCGGATACTAGAAGAACACTGATGCATCTATTCTGGTTTCAATATGTACGCAGAGAATACGCAGCAGTAATAAACTTTTCTTGTCTTATTACCTTGAGCTGTTTGTACTTTATACTGTACACTGTACACTGTGCACTGCAAACTGTACACTGTATACTATGCACTGTAAACTGTACACTGTAAATAGTGCACAATCATTAGAATGATGTTTTGAAATTTTAAACATATGGCTCCGTCAGTCCAGAAGGTTAAAAGATAAATGAAAGGTTTTGAGGTTGTATTAGATCTTGTTAAGGTCTGAAGATCTTTAGATAAACAAATTAGTGCAAGTTGCTCAGAAACGGGAATGCATTTAGGTTTAATGCTATTATGAGTTTGTCATCAACATTGCGGGATATATTTATTGTGATATTGAGTTATTCGAGATTTAATGAAAAAGTCAAATAAGTTGATTCAACTGAAAGTCATATGTTTCTTTCATGATGTTATTCGACTATTACTGAGAGATATGTGGCTAATAATGGAATTCATATGTTTCTTTGTGATGTAAACTTTTAAAAGATCTAAATTTTTATTTGCCTAGAGTCAATTCAACGTTGAGACTTTAAGAATGTGTGTAAAATCCTATTTTGTCAAAATAATCCCTATTTATATTATAATCTGGTTGTTTCCTTCTGGTTGCTCTAAGTAGATGATCTTTAAGAATATCCAGGTTGTATCTGGTAGTAAAATTCTGCCAGTTTCTCCGGGTACCTCCAGGCCTACTAGCTCCTTGACGGCCACTTGCGTCCACCTCCAGACATAATTGAAACATGAGAGGGGGGGGGGATTAAGAAGGTTTAGGTTTCGGTTAAATTTTTGCTGGGCAGCCAGTGCAGTGGTTAGGATCCGCAATATTTTTGCTCCCAGTATCCTGTATCCTGTATCCGGATTTAAATATGCAAAAATATGAAAATTCGCGGTTTTTTGCTCTGGAAACACATATCTAAAATGTTTTTATTTGTTAAAAAATTCTTGAATTCCATGACCTGGATCCAGATCTGGGTCCATTTTTTCAGAGCATCAAAATGAAATAGATTCTAAGCACTGCCTTCGGCGAAACTGAAATAGATAATATAGGATAGATACTAATTTTTAGAAATCCGCCAGAACTGTTGTGTTGTGAATTTATGGATCAAGTAGCTGAGATCAATAGTATTAGTATGCAGATCAGCGTTGTCCCACATAAAAGTTTTTACCTCTAATTATTATTTGTTTAACATCCTTTACAAAATCATCAAGTATTAGTTTCAACTAAACCAGTTTCAAGATTTTATAGTTTTCAAATTATCAAGTATTAGTTTCAACTAAATCAGTTTCAAGATTTTATAGTTTTCAAATTATTAAGTATTAGTTTCAACTAAACCTGTTTCAGGATTTTATGTTTCCCGAAATGATCAATTTGAAGAAAATTTTGACACATTTGGAATTTAGCCAAAAAGAAATGCCAGCAATTCAAAGGTCGTAATTTTTATTGATGGTTTATTGTTTATTTTGTGTTTGAGTTCACGTTTTAATTTGTTTTGTACATGTTAGAAATATTTCTTAAATTTTCTATAACTTAATCATGTTAAATAGGTTTGAAAATGTCAACATTTTAAACTTCTTTAATAAATTTTTAAGTATCTATTGAAATATTTCTATTCAATTATAATTGTTTTCGAATTATTGATATCACAAATATTTCAAACTTTTTCTGTATATTTCTAAATATTTCTGAATATTTTTGAATATTTCTAAATATTTCTAAATATTTCTAAATATTTCTAAATATTTCTGAATATTTCTAAATATTTTTAAATATTTATAAATATTTAAGAAAAATTTTAAATGTTTCTAAATATTTATGAATATTTCTAAACATTTCAAACTTTTGTTAAATGTTTCAATATTCCTGAGCTTTGAACATAAAGCTTGGACTGGAGAGAGTGCCCTTACTCATGATAAACCTTAATTAAAATTAATCATTAAAAAATTATTGATTATGAAAAATTTGAAGGGATATTAAATAATACAAGAAATTATTGTAAGCCTTTTTAATTTAAGTCAAAGAAAGTTAAAAAAAAATTATAAAAAGTTTACAGATTTTATGCTTTGTTGCATTCTCATCTCTGGTATCCAAATTGTTATTTTTTGTTTCTTAAAAATAAGAAGAATTCTTTAACTTTTGGTTTCTCATCATATCATGTTCTATTTTGATTGTTTTGAAAGAAATGATGCAAGTCAGAATAAGAAATTGTATAAATGAGTTTTAAGAAATAAATATACACAAAAAATGTTTTTGATGTCACAAACTTTTTGTTAAAAAAAAACATGCATAATGAAAATCTAAAAAAGTTATAGACTAGTAGTTAAAAATTTAGTTTTTTCAATGTTGCAATAATTAAAAAAAATTGATATGATCTAAATAGGCGAACAAAAACCATTAAGCGTAGCATATGGCAAAAGTTAAAATGCAAGGAATATCATAATTTGAAAGTTTTTGCAAAGTTTCAATCAAGAATTATTAAACTATGAATAAATTATTATTTCTAAATGAAAAACGTAAAAAAAGAATAAAAGTAGACTGAAATTTCAAAAACCATTTAATTTTTATCTAAAAAAAAATCAAAAATGTGCGAGAAACCTAACATCAAAAGATTTGTTTGTGTAATACATTTTCTCCTGAACAAAATGAAAAAATTCATGCTTATAACATAAAAACAACGAAAAATGTGCAGAATTTTATGCTATCATTAATGTTTTCAGGTGTTTGCTGCACACCGTTTCAGGTGTTTGCTTCACACCATGGTTCTGTATTCGCTACTCGGTTTGTCAGTATTCAGTTCAGCGACAGTGTAGTGTGCGTTGCCTTTGAAGTTTCTTGGTGTATCCTTTAGTATTCAAGAATCATGGAGAAGAAGAGGAAGAGATCCTATGAAGTATGTGAAGCTAGTACGTCTGGTACTGTCTCGAAGAAGAACAAGGTGGTGAGTAAGCTCAGTCTGATGGTTGGGATTCCTAACCCTGAAAGCATTTGCTTCATGAGCTCAGTTCTACAGGTTCTGGCTAATGTGAAAAGCTATTGTGACTTGATTCTTGCTATACCGACAGAGTCCTCATTTGACAGTGATAAGATTCTAGCTCTTCAGCTCATGTTAACTGCCTTGCTTAACCAGGTCGGAGAAGATGAGAAATCGCTGTGTATGAGTAACTTTTGCAAGATTTGGAAAAAGAATATTAACCACGAAGGTGTCTGTGCAGAGTTCCTCATGGAGATCTTATCTTCTCTGGAGGATTATCTGAAGAATACTGTTCTCAAGGAATCCTTTGAAAGGTTGGTATACTCTACTGGTGAAGCTGGGGGTAGGAGTCTTTTATATACCTTAACCCCAGTGGACAGGACACCAAGTTGGAGTAGGAAATTTATGGTACTTTCAAGGAGCTTGCTTCAAACCTGATCATCTCTATTAACCGGGTAGCGGACACTGGTGAATGAGAAATCAGAAAAATGCACTTCACTACAGATCTCAACTCAAGGGTTTTAAATAAACTGTCAGCATCGACGAAGCACAACTTCTCTAGCTAAAAACTTACTGTAGTGATTGTACACAAATTCAAGTTAAACAAACCCCACTACGTGGTGTTTGTCAAGTCTGGATCAAACTGTATTCTACACGATGACGAGATTATCACGAAAATGAGTCAAAAAGCAATACTAAAGACTTGTGGAAACTCAGGTGGCGTGGAAGATCAGCCCCTAGCTACCATGTTAATATACACTTCTCTTGAGAATACCTCCGATTACCCTATCCCTCCACATCTAACTGAGAGATATTATAAGTTGTTCTTGCACCCTAAGCAAGAAGTGATGCTGACCGTCAGTGTTATCACTGGGGATTTCTTCAGCTCTTCTCACAGATTAGTGGAAGAGAACAATGTAGAGGTTTCTCATTTCAAGATCTTCAAGGAGGATATGGAGAAGGAGGTTTGGCAGTACCTAGCTCCATTGTTTGCCTTTAGCCTCCTGTCCTTTCAGCTCCGAGCCACTTGTTGTCAGTGTTATCACTGGGGATTTCTTCAGCTCTTCTCACAGATTAGTGGAAGAGAACAATGTAGAGGTTTCTCATTTCAAGATCTTCGAGGAGGATATGGAGAAGGAGGTTTGGCAGTACCTGGCTCCTTTGTTTGCCTTTAGCCTCCTGTCCTTTCAGCTCCGAGCCACCTGTTCTGGGTTAAAGCGGTGAGATAAGGGTGGAGAGTCGTCAGATTAGCTAAAGTGACACGTTCTCTTCTCTTGCTAGTGGATCAAGATCTCTGAGGCTCCTACATTTTGGAGTTGTCAGACGTAGAGCCAAGAGAACAGTTGACCAGTATTTGTATCAAGACCTTCAGGAACAACTCTTTCTCCAGCGACTTCTTTTTAACTTTCATCAATTTATTTATTTATAATTTATTATGAAACAAATTAATTGATACATGTATTTAATGCAGAATGCAGATACTCATTTATCCAATCTTCTTGTTTCCTGGCTGTCCTGTTTTGCTCATTCAATTAGCTGCATATGAAAGTTTTGATTAAGATTCCACAGCAAAGCAGTTTCTGAGTTCCACTATATCTGCTCGTGAAGTAGGATAAGGTTGGAATTTAGGAGGTACTGTATTCATCTTTATTACTTTATCTTGTTCAAGATTAGTCACGCTTTCCACTCAGTTGTGGAGAGAAGTGACCATGATATGTAGACTTCTATTCAAGTACAACGCACATAGCGCCCTTTCTCTTAACAGGCTTAAAAAGCTCTGCTGACACCCTTCCTCTGGGAGGTTCCGATACACACTGCTCCAGCGACTTCTACTTTTCTCAGATGTCATGCGAAACTGTCGCCAGCTGGGCTATAGACAGCAGAATTAAGAAGTATACCCCCTTTCTTGTAAACAGTAAAACTGTACTGAAGCTTGAAGAACATGCTCTGCTATCCTCTCTTTCCCAGGACGGATGTATTGCGGTTCTCGTCTATGATCTATCCGGAAACCTGGAGGAGCACCTCACAAGTCTCTTCAACATGGTCAGGATCCAGTTGATTTCTGAGAAGGAAGCATGTAGGATCGAGGTCAACTGTGACGCTTCTTCTGAGCAGGTTTATATGGAGGTGGGGAGAATATTCAACCATGCCTCAAGCAAGGTTCAGATCCGGACCGTTGACAGTGCTGGGGTTCCAGTACCACCTATACCATCTACCGAAGATCTAAAACCTCTTCTGGAGAATCTGCATGCCTACAGACAGTCCAGAATTCTGAGAATCAGACTACTTGATATGGAACTTGTGGAGTATGAGGAGCTTTCTGACGTTACTGTAACACTCTGTTGCCTAGATTTAAACAAGCCGAGGCAGTTAAACCTCAAGATAAATCTGTCTTCTAACCCTCCTCTTCACTGTCTCCTGGAAAAGATAGATCCTGTTGAAATCCCCGCTTCGGACAAAGTGAAATGGGAATTTTGTTCTCTTAATGCAGGAAAAGTTTCATCTCTTTTGGACCCATCTTCAGATGTTAAATCAAATTTAGATTAGGTGTTAGGATTGGTCAAGGTCCTGATCTCTGGTAGGGTTGTGTCCTTCTTTACATACCAAGACAACCCTATGAACAGAGTAGGCAACCCAGGGATAGTTGCGGTGTCTGAAAATCTCTGCGACATTGAGAAATCATTAGAGGAGGTTATCGAAGGGGAAATTCTCAACATCAGCGAGTTTCACTTTTTAATGATGAAAAACTCTAGTTTCCACGTCTCAACATTCTTGCAGGAATGTTGCCTGGCGGAGGGGCCAGGCCTGTTATCTTCAGAACTTGTATTGGAGTCAAGTTGGGAGACATGTAACTACAGTTTAACAGCTGGCCAGATCTAGAACTTGTAACTCATAAACATGTAACTCTATAAGAATCTCAGTTCTAACATTTAATGTGAAAACCGTGGTTGGCCAGATCTCTCTATATATATATTCCGGAGCTGTATGTAGGGTTGGCCAGATCTCTCTATATATATATTCCAGAGCAGTATGTGAAGCAAGTACGTCTGGTACTGTCTCGAAGAAGAACAACTTCTCTATCTACAAACTTACTGCAGTGATTGTACTCAAATTCAAGTTAAGGGTGAATTTCTCAACATCAGCGAGTTTCACTTTTCAATGATGAAAAACTCTAGTTTCCACGTCTCAACATTCTTGCAGGAATGTTGCCTGGCGGAGGGGCCAGGCCTGTTATCTTCAGAACTTGTATTGGAGTCAAGTTGGGAGACATGTAACTACAGTTTAACAGCTGGCCAGATCTAGAACTTGTAACTCATAAACATGTAACTCTATCAGAATCTCAGTTCTAACATTTAATGTGAAAACCGTGGTTGGCCAGATCTCTCTATACATATATTCCAAAGCTGTGTGTATGGTTGGCCAGATCTCTCTCTATATATAATTATAATGATATAACCCCAATTTTATTGAATGAATTACCTTTACCACTTGTTAACGACTTAAAACATTTAGGAAATGTTCTGCAAAGAGATAATTCATTGACCATAGATTGCAATAAAAAATGAGCTATTTTCATTTCAAAAATTCATTCCCTTAACCAAGAATTTTATTTTAACAGTCCTGATGTTATTTTGAAACTGTATAATATTTACTGTTGTAGTTTTTATGGATCTAGTATTTGGGACTTGAGTTCCCAATGTGTTTTAAAATTGTATACAGCATGGAATACTGCTATTAGAATTCTTTTTAATGTACCTAGAGATACGCATAGGTACTTGATTGAAAGTATTTCACAATGTTTACATGTAAAAACTATGTTAGCTAGGAGATGTGTGTCTTTCTATGAGACTATTGAAGCAAGTTCTAAGCTTTGCATTAGATTTCTTTCTAATTTTATGTAAAAATGACCTCAACACAGTTCTTGGCAGAAATTTATTTTCTATTGCAAATGATTGTTCTTTAAATCCTTCGGATCTTAGTAAAATGTTAGTTATGAAACAAATGAAATATTTTGATGTCCCATTGGAACATGAATGGAAAGTTACGGCTTTACAAGAACTTTTAAATACAAGAATGAATAATTTATATGTTGAAGGATTCGATGATTACGTAATAACTGAAATTATAAATATAATATGTAGTAAGTAAAAATCAATGTTTTCTATTTGTACATAATTTTGCATATTTTTTCTCTTTTCTTTTGGAAACCTGTATTTTCAAAAAAAATTTATTTAAACAAATTTAAACTACACCATTTATATATGTATTTATATTTTTGTGTGTGAATAAATCTTTATAATAATCTTTATAATATATAATAATATTCCGGAGCTGTATGTATGGTTGGCCAGATTTCTCTTTATATATTATCCGGAGCTGTATGTATGGTTGGCCAGATCTCTCTATATATATATTTGTTGACTTTAAAAGTCACTACAATAAAACAAAGATATCTGAAATGGATATTTCTAATATTTATTTAAAAAAACGAAAGTTTTGAAATATTTGCATAAGACTGGGTTAAAATTGGTTGGTTTAGAAATTAACAAAGGAATTAATGATGAATATTTGAGGGCACTTCATGGGAGTGTTGTAGAGCTTCATGTTGGTGGAGCAGATCAACAGGAACTGGAACAACAGGGTTTATCAATGGAACTAAGGCAATGCAACTCAAGATAGCAGAAACTTTGGTCGGAGCCGGGTATATGTTTCCTAAGTAAGCTTCTCAAGAAGTTAATAGGGAGATCAGAGGTATAAGCATGCCTGCTGTTAGCTGAGTATCTGCATCATCATCATGAAGGAGTCAAGAGGCTCCCTGTGTCAGAGCTGTTACCAGCCCAACTTTCCTAACCTGACTGCAGGGTTGGGATGTGTAGAGGGGTGAGGGGGGGACGAAGGAGCGAGGGTGACATGTGGGCACTTCATGGCGGAAATAGTTACACACGTCTTGAAAATAGTCAATGGCATCTGAGTCGGTAAGGTTGTCTTCCTTATATTTTGAATTTGTGTTAAAATTACTCCCTACTGGGGGTTAAATTAAAATGGGATTTTAATTTAACAAAAAGTAAAACAAATTTGAAACTTCAAAATCCAACCAACCAAGATATAACCTGCCCAGATTTCCATATCTCAAAATGTTGACTTTAAAAGTCACTATAATAAAACAAAGATATCTGAAATGGATATTTCTAACATTTATTTAAAAAAACGAAAGTTTTGAAATATTTGCATAAGACTGGGTTAAAATTGGTTGGTTTAGAAATTAACAAAGGAATTAATGATGAAAATTTGAGGGCACTTCATGGGAGTGTTGTAGAGCTTCATGGAGTCAAGAGGCTCCCTGTGTCGGAGCTGTTACCAGCCCAACTCTCCTAACCTGACTGCCAGGTTGAGATGTTTAGAGGGTTGAGGGGGGAATGAAGGAGCGAGGGTGACATGTGGGCGCTTCATGGCGGAAATAGATACACACGTCTTGAAAATAGTCAACAGCATCTGAGTGGGTAAAGTCGTCTTCCTTATATTTCGAATTTGTGTTAACAATATTCTGGAGCTGTATGTATGGTTGGTCAGATCTCTCTATATATTTATTGCAGAGCTGTATGTATGGTTGGCCAGATCTCTCTATATATCTATTCCGGAGCTGTATGTATGGTTGGCCAGATCTCTCTATATATATATTCCGAGCTGTATGTGTATTTGTTGTTTTTTATCTTTCTAGTTTATACGAAACTATTGTCAGAAAATTAAACTGCGATGTGAACTTCAGACTCTCGTCAATGCAACTAACTGTGATTGTTAAGATGCTCAAAGAAAATTGAAAGTCTATATTTAGCTTTAAAAAAATAAATGTTTGGGTATTTTTTTTTTTAAATTCAAGATTTCAACTTTTAAAGGTAATTTTTCGTATTGTTTTGGCCCATCCCTGTCAAAGGTCATTAGGACCAAATCGATTCCGCCATTTTTACGCTTATTGAAATACAAAAAAAAATGATTTTTAATGTTTCCCTTTCAGAGAAAACCTCAAGTTCTCTTACTTTTTAGCCCAATGAGGAACAGGATACAGGGCCGGCCCTCGGTAAAAAAAGTTGAGAACAATCACCGTCATAATCACCGATACAGTCGTCATAGCCATCACAAAGGTCAAGTAGATTCCTAGAATAGTCAGGTATAAACCTTGGGAAAGGTCAAGTATAAACCTGAAAAAGGTCAAAAAGATACCTAGGTCAATTAAATTCCTGTGTCAAGTAGATACCTGGGTCAAGTATATACCTGGGTCAAGTAGATACCTGGGTCCAGAATATACCTGGGTCAAGTATATACCTAGAAATGTCAAGAATTGAGCCTAATAAACCTTAATAAAGGTTGCTATAATTGTTAAGATGCAGAAAACATATCATTGCAAGGTCAGAACAACAGAGTAATTAGCGGCACAGATTATATCTAGTAATAAACCCATAATCTCAAGTAAACTGCACAGCGCACATAAAGATACACACTAAATTACCAAATAAAAAACCCCGCTTATTTTGCAGCAAAAGTTGGATGACTGAGAAGTAAGCGAAAAAAATTGTTTTTTTTTCAACAAAAATCGCTTATTTGGTAGTATGTCATCTAATTTTTGTTGTAAAATTAACGATTTTTTAAAAAATAAATATTTTTGTCTCTTTATTGACAGTCATCCAACCTTTTCTGCCAAATAAACGATTTTTTATTTCCTAATTAGGAATGTAAGATAATGAGACAAGAGATCTCCAAGAAATTCGTCCAGGGGGGTGACTGAGCCCCAATAGCCCCTCTCCCTTAATTTGTGTAAGCCTAGCTGAGTCCGTAGTAATAATAAAAAACTTCAAAAACGGCTGTACTTTATTTATTAAGTTTCTGTCTGTGTCAAATAAAAAAAACACTTAAAGACAACATTAAAGATAGAGGGCAAAATTTAACTTTTTGATTCATACAATTAAAGCGATTTTAGGGATTCAGAGAAATTTCAACGATTTTAAGTCCTTAATCGTAAGTAAGTATTTAAAATATTTTCGAAATATATTTAAAAGGAGGGGCACAATGCCTGATTCACAATGATATCCCTTAAATGGTCCCTAACATATAGATAAAAATATACATAAAAACGACGATATATTCCTCATTGTTGGTTAGATAAAGGTTTCAAGGGTAACATTATTAACTTGGCATGGAACTCTTTAAATGAGCAACCACATGTAATTACGTCGTTATTCCCTTTAAGTCCTTTAAGAAAGTGTTAAATTTCTCGACATTTTGATTAGTTGTTAAACCAGCCCAACATTTATAAAATATTACATAAGAAGAAATATGTTAAATATTTAAGAATAATGTTAAATATTAAAAAAAATTGTTAAACATAATCATTATTAAATTAGTTTCACCAAGCTAATTGAATTAAAGAATACATAAAAAACTATGACTTAGTCAATATTTCAAACAGAGTTGAGGGATCTTAACAAGTTTTTTTTAGCTTTATTCTTATTTTTTGAATTTGCTTTTATTCGATTTTCAAACAATCGTCAAAGGAAAAATTTAGCAATGATATTTGTTTAATACTGGTTTTTAAAGATTGGCCAATAACTCTATGTTTTTGTTTAATAAAACAACTATATATCCTCTAAAGTTTGTAAAATTTCATAACTCTAGATATTTCATAATGTAGATTTTATACGTAAAATATTATAGACTATAAAATCAAAATCAAAATTTATTCGGTATTTGCCTATAAAATAAATTCTCATAGTGCTTTATTGTAGTTAGATACATAGAGAGAGGTAAACCAGAAGAAATATGTTTACAATACAAGGATTTGTTTCTAAACAAATATTGGCATATCAAAATCTTTAATGTTTAACACACGTGACAAGAGAAGGTGTTTCTAACTTTGAACTTTGTATTTGAATTTTTCTATTTGTTCAAACTATAGAAACTGAATTGAATAATTCCTTTAACCCCCCACCACCAACTAATCTCAATCCTCCTTGAATTATTCCAATGCCCGCGGCCCCCTCCCCCCACCTCCGATAAACCCAGTGCAGTGGCCGTCAGTGGGGTATTTTCGGGGGATGGGGGGGGGGGTGACCGGTTTTTGTCACAATACCCCTCTTAAAATGCATTTGTCTCATGTTTCATAGTGAGAATGGACAAAATGAATATTTTACAAATATTGTATCAATTGTAGCTTGCATTGATTTAAAATGATTTCAATTTATAGTTACTTTTCCCGTTTAAATGTGGATCCTGTAAACCTGTAATATATTTAGAATGTCGTCTTTGTTAAAGAGACCTATTTCGGGGGAAAAACATATATTCAGGATAATCTAGATTTATATAAATCAATTCTAACAACCAATATTAAAATATTTTGGGGCCGTCAGCAGCCCACCAAATATTATTTTAGTCTCTAATTCATGTTTAAAAAATTCCAATTTTAAGAGTTTTCACGGAAATTACCAGTTTCCCGTCGTATTTCAGAACTACAACACAGCAGTACTTTGACTCTGAGACTTCTCTCAAAAACATTACTCAAGCAATCAAGCTAGAGGAATGGATTCACTAGTCTCCGGCATTTTCTCCGCTATTGCAAGCATAAAGACGGAGAAGGCAAGGATGACTGTTACTCCCAGAGCAATCTTTTCTCCTGGTTATCAGATACATTCAACCTGGATCAAAAAACATTGTATATTTCAATGTGCGTTATAGGTGAGAGAGAACACCACCGCTTCTTTTGTACGAAAAGTGACCCATTTTTAACAATATTTTTTAAAAATAAAAATATCAAATTCTTTTCGTTCTAATTATGGGTTTTCTTAATTAATTTCTTAATTAATTTATTACGGATTCCTTTTTATTACATTCTTATATTTGGCTTAGAATATTACATAGCACATATATGAATAGTTCTTAATTGAATCTAAGTACTTTTTGTCTCATTTTTTGTAGTCCTGGCCTTTCAGCCATAACCCATGTGCAATGTACAGCAAATCACAAAACGTTGCACATATGAGTAGATGATTCTGAATAGCAGCTAGGACTTATTATTAATTCTTTGCTTCCTATTTGTATAAATTACACTTACAATTTTTTATGCTACACACGTCCCAATAAACATGAAAATTTAGTGACGACAACATGAAGATTGTCTTTGATAATAAATCATCAAAAGGCGTAAGAGATTTGAGCTTTCCATAATGGGCTCTAATTTTATTGTATCTTAAAAGCTGACGTAACGTTATGTTATTTTCAGATAATTTTGATTTCACTCTCAGAAATTAAACATTTTCTTCCGACAAAATATATTTGAACACAGGATCCAAAATCAAATATCACAAGTATTCAAATTTTGATGAATAACAATTTTCATTTGACAAATTTTGAAGAATAACGCTTCTAAGTTTAATTTGGCTCCGGTGCTTCAACTATTTTTGTTGGATGAAAATATTCCATGTCTAAGAATAAATGAATTAAAATCATGTTGTAGTTTTTAATATCTTAATTAATGTTGAAGGTACAAAATGAAAGACCACAATTGTAAACCCCTGCCGTCCTTTGTTCAGGGAACCAGATTTTAAATGAATGTATCCCTGAATCTGGAGGCAGACAGAAAACTAGCACGGTCAAACTTGACATCATCATACAGGGGAACACGATGTTGTACATGTAGTACAAGGTCTTCCGTCGGATCCTAGAGTACATAATAAGTAATACGTGTACATGATATTAAAGAAAAGTACAGAATACAGTGATAACTAGAAAACTCTGGAATAGGAGGTCGACTTTCAGACTCAAGTCATGACTTTTAATAGTCCAATGAATATGAGGCACAGCAATTGTGCAGTGTAAACAGACCCATATAATTTAATTAGTGATTTAATAACTTACTAGTAAAGCTATTTGCATTCTAACAACATTAATTGCACTTCATTATTAATATATTGTCCTCTTCCTATTCTACAGTTTTCTGATTAAACGATAAGTAAAGTAAACGATGTTCAGTAAAATATTTGAAAAAGTACAAGATTTTTAGATAAATAAAAGATATTTAGATTAGGTAATCTGGTAAAAAGTAAAGTAAAAGATATTCAGTACATGTACAAAAAATTAAGCACAAAATATTGAGTACAAGTACACTATATTCAGTAAAAGATATCAAGTACAAGCTTAAGATAATCAGTATAAATAAAAGACATTCAGTACAAGAACAATATATACAAAATATTCAGTAAATTTTAGATTATTCTTAGTATTTTCAAAGAAAGGGACTGGCAGGATGTCAGCATTCAAGATTGCAACTTACAAGTACAGGATACTTTGTAAAAGTACAAGATATTCAGTACTCATACAAAATATTCAGTACACATACAAAATATTCAGTACACATACAAGATATTCAGTAAGCATACAAAATATTCAGTACTCATGCAAAATATTCAGTACACATACTAAATATTCATCACACATGCAAATTATTCAGTACACATACAAAATATTAAGTACACATACAAATTATTCAGTACACATGCAAAATATTCAGTACACATACAGAATATTAAGTACACATACAAAATATTCAGTACACCTACAAAATATTCATTACACATTCAAAATATTCATTACACATACAAAATATTCAGTACACATACAAATTATTAAGTACGCATACAAAATATTCAGTACGCATACAAAATATTCAGTACACATACAAAACACATACAAAATACTAAGTACACATACAAAATATTCAGTATACATACAAAATATTAAGTACACATAAAATATATTCAGTAAATATTTTTATTTTTATTTTTAATAAAAGGGATTGTCGGCTTCAGATCTTCCTTTAGTAAGTGCCGGTACATGATTTCACTGAAGGAATTGAGTTTTTGCCACAAATATAATCTATATATCTTTGCAATCCAATAAAGTAGACCTTCGACATTTCAAACTATTATATCAAAAAATTTAAGTTTGAAAAATCCAAGGTTTACACGATTAGGTTGCAAAGATATGGAAACTATAGAAAATTTGAGTTTGTGGCAAAATCTCAGTTTCTTTAGAAAATAAGGCCGGGGGTGTGGATTTTTTTTAAACAAAGACGAGAAAAACAGCTAGGGAAATGTTTAGTCTTTATCTTACTCTTAAGGTAAAAACAAATCGGCCATCGTCCGGCCGCTGCGAGGAGGGAAGGGGAGGAAGATATTTACTCTTCTTGTATTGTCCTCACCTTATGGTGACGGTCATCGAAGGATAGGGTTCGATACAGCAGGGATAATACTGTTCAGTTCTTACAAGTCGAGCTTCCAGTAGTTCCCATTCACCATTCGGTACATAGTTCTCCAGATCAATATTAGAGGTTCGATTCATCACATTCAACTGAACATAATTCAAAATTAACTTCTTTGATGCTAAAGACTGTCGATGCAATACCAACTCGGCTGGAATTTGAAAATATAAACGCTTGGAAAAAATAACTTTGCAGAATTGGCCTATTTCTAACACTCAGTGTTAAAAATGGGCCAAGTGTTAGTTTTGGAACTTTATTTTCAGGGTATAAACTATAAAGTTAAAAGTTGTAAATTGTGCCTTTAGTGCTTTAAATGGAACGATACTTGAAATTACGTCGACAAACCCTTTAAGAAAAGAATGTGTCAATAACAGAGGACAATGTATCATGTCATATTTCTATTTCTAATATACCAAACCAACTTAAACGGGCAGAGGACGGAATTAATGAATAAAGAAAAATGGTTTAACTGCTCTAGTTTGCACTTGCCAATCCTTTCATAACTTTGTACAAATTTAGATGAAGCAATGTTTTTTTGATTAGTCTAAATCATAAATAAATAAATCTCTATCTATGGTCTAAAGTCCAAAGTCAAAGTCAACCCGTCTTTCATGGTGAGATTTTGGGAACAGGTTTCGTTCTGAGATTTTTTCCTCAGAGTGAATACATGGGATAAAATATGGGAAGGAAACTACAATTCTGAAACTGTTAACTTGATATCTGTTAATTATTCCAAAAAGAAGCTAAAACATCAGATTATGCAGGGATAAGTATTCAAATATGCATATCCTTTATAAGTCCTCGAAGAAAGTGTTTAAGGCATTGAAGAAGGAAAACTTTTTTCATGCAGTTTTTTTTTCACCTTTACTATTCACCATACCATACCTTTTCTTAAAATTCAGCTATTATTTTTTGTATTACAATTAGTTATTTTTATATTGAAAAAGTGTGTATATAACACCTTGGAGGGTCAGCCAATTAAAACAACCAGAAATGACTAGGCTGTAGCCCTAGCTTTAAATACTTAAAAATGAATCTATGTATTGTAAAACCGATTTCTAGCAGAAATATCTATCTATCTATCTATCTATCTATCTATCTATCTATTTGTGTATATATGTATTAATTACAATACAAGTCTACGTAACATTGAAAAAAGAATTAAATCCAAGTCTTTGAAAGTGAATTTTTTCAAAGGAACTGAGTTTTTGCCACAAATTTGTTTTTAATCTTTGTGAAGAAACAATCTTAAGAACTGACGAGGGTCAACCCAGACCGAAATATATTTTCAATAAATGTGGAACTAACATCTACTTTTTTACTCTACAGAGGTTTGGTCCATCACCATCACTGAATTTTAAAGCCACAAATTATGATTCTACAATCGCCATATCTTTTCAACCTAATAGTGTAAACCTTTGTTTTTTAAAACTATTTTTATTTGATCTAAAATGATTCATAGTTTAAAATATCTAAGGTTTCCGACATTCAAATGCAAAGATATAGGGATAAGAAAATCAGAGTTTGTGACAAAAACTCAATTCCTTTAAAATCATTCTATGTTCGAGGTTTTATGTCTATGTAATGTATCTGTTCAATGCACATTTGTATTTTGAATATTATTGACATAATAATCTGGTAAAACTAGATTCGACTTCCCTTTTATACAATTTATTCCAAATTTTACAGTTTCCTCTGTTATATATATATATATATATATATATATATATATATATGTGTGTGTGTGGAGAACTGTAGAACCAGGGATTATATACCTTTAACATTAATCTTTAAGGAAAAGTGATTTTTCATGTTTTATTTCATCTTTTTTAAATGCATTTACTAACATTGTGGTTCTACCGAGTTCTTCAGTCAATATTTGAGGCAAATCAGTTTAGATTTTGCCAATTATTTCAATAAAACTAAAGCTAAAAACAAGCGCTTAGAAGCTATAATTGTATGTCTAGGGTAGCAAAAATAGTTTAAAAAGTTAAAAAGGTCAAAACATGTTGACACTTTCAAATCAGTCTGGTCTTGATTGATTCACAATATAATAGTAATTCGGAACTCTGATAATTGCCTTACCTTGGTTCCATCGTACATCCAAGAACTGAGTTTGAGGTTACAAGTCTGATCATCAAACGGAAAGTACTTAACATCGACAGGGCAGGTCGACCGGAACTTCGTCGGCGGCGGCCAGAAAACATTTCCGGCGTGATCAATAGCCGCCAAACTTCGGAAGTAGGTTTGGGAATAATCGTCAGCGCTGCAATAAAGCAAAATATATTTGTATTAATTTTTTAATAATTTTAGCATGCATCGTTTTATGGAATGAACATTTGCTCCAATACGTTTAGTTGGAGACCTTCATTTTTTAGGACACCCTCATAGTTTTATTGGTGACCCACCAATTTTCATTGGAGACTCCAGATTTTCTTTGGAGACCCCCAGATGGTCTGGGGGTCTCCAACGAAAATCTGGAGTCTCCAATGAAAATATAGGGGTTTCTAATGAAAATATGAGGGTCTTCAATTAATAATGGGGGCATCCAATGAGAATCTATAGGTCTCCAACAAGACCTACTCCAATAGTACTCCAATAGTACTCCAATGATGATGATATCTTCCTAGACTCCAAGATACAAAAAAGGGTAAAGGTACGAGCTGGGCAGGAGTAGGGAAAATTCATTATGATTACTGGTACCACATTGTCACCTCGTAGCTTCTCTATTTTTATTCACAAGTATTAGAAGAGCAAATTTACCTGGTTCCATATTTAAAGTAATTGAGCCTTTGCCACAAACTCTGATTATCTAATCCCTTTATCTTTGCAACCAAATACATGTCCTAAACCTTATATATTTCAAAATAGATCAAATAATCTAAGTATGACAAGATATAGTGTGAGTTTGTGGCAAAGACTCGATTCCTTTAAATCATTTTAGTTCTTCTAAATACCTCTTTAATAAATGAAATCATGATTGACAACGCATAATATTTCCATCTTACGAGCAGCAATGAATTTCTGTAAAGAATTTCTGTAAAGTTATCTCAAGTTTTTCATCCTTTAAATTCATCGGTTTTATGTTTTCATTTTCTAAAAGCAAGACGAGGACAAAGTATATAATGATATTCAGAGCGGGAATTTTTAGAGCGTATTTTTTAAGAAACCTTCTTTGAGAAACCTAGTTTGCTTTGAATTTGTGGTCTTAACATAAAAAAAAACTAAAACTAAATTAAAATGCTTTACAACATAATCAATTAAACCGGGTTTAATTTTACCGGTAGTTGTCTTAAGTTTCCTTCTCCTGGATATAAGTTGTACAAGTTGACAACTAGAAACATATAACTGTAGTTTACTGTTTTAGATACTAATGAGCCGTTTTATATCTAGCTGTACTGTACAGTGTTTCCCAGAACAAACTGGAATAATTGTCGTGATTGAATTCAGTTTATAAGAAATGCCGCAAAGAGTTTTAAAGTTTGAAATTTTAATAATTGAAAACCTTAAAAAATTTGAAGGAGTTATATTTTCATTTTTTATCAGTTAAAAGTCTGCACAATACTTAGCGTTATTTATTGTTAATGAAAAGCACAAAAAAACATTTCGCTGTGCATTGGTTTACAATTGCACTTTATAAAATATTTGTATAATCTCAAGCCTTTTCAGTTGTTTGCCAACAAACATTTAGCAGGGTTTCCAAGATTTTCCGAATCAATTTGGACCCAGCTTTCGTTACAGAATTAAAAATCTAGCTCCTAGATGCTTCAAAGAGCTGTGTGTATACCCTGCTGAAAAAAATATTACGGGACCATTCCGGATCAATTCATATGAAACAATCGAACCGTATTCATTTTTCAAATTGTCACACCAAGCTTTGTGTGTAATATTTGAAAAAATGTTTAGAAAGGTTCTAATGGTAATTTACAAATTTTTTTTAAGGGTTTATAATTCTTAACAGCTTCAGGAAAGGTTTCGGAAGGCTTTCACGGGTCCACATAGATCCGGGAAAAAATGGAAACCCTAGAAAAACCATAGATAAAGATAGATTGCGCATAATACGACATTTTTCATCTTGAAAGATATAAATGTACAGAGATGTTTTTAAGATATTTCTATTATGTAGATTAACTAGGTCGGTTGTGAACATTGGCTGTTCTTATGTCATTGAGTACTTGTGGTGTACATGAGTTCTGTAGAGAGAAATTTAAGTTAGTTTAGTCCTTCTCATGTCCTTCTTCAGTTCTCGTCAATATGATAGTGAAATATTGATGTTCAAATAGTTCCATTCCCGGAGTTATTTTACACTCTATTATGAAATCCATTAAAACAACAAACCACCCCGCTTATCATTGAAGTACACTTTGACCTCTAGAAGTATGAGTTCGCGGACTGTACAATTCTTGGTGATTTTGCGTACATAAGCTATCTATGTTTATTTATTTATCTATGAGAAAAACTTATTGGGTTTTTAGTTGGTACGAAGTATTAAAATGCCATCTGATAATAAGCCAGTTCAAATTTGTTACTTAACATGGGATAGAAATAAAAGTATGAATTGATTTAAATAATGGTTTAATAATCTAATCCTACACCCCAACCTACAGTTTCCTTATTCCTCCCTTTAAATCTCTAATTGAGTATTGGCTAAAAACCGTAAGAACATCCTCCAAGTACCCGCTGTTCTTAGTGCAATATTGAAACTAATTTAGGGACCACTTATCCAATTTAGTATCAATAAAAACTAATGCAAAAAATCTAATTGTTATTTAGAACTATATACGGTATTAAACTAACCTTTTATAAAGAACTATATCCAGTATTAAACTAACCTGTTATATAGAACTATATCCGGTATTAATCTAGCCTGTTATATAGAACTATATCCGGTATTAAACTAGCCTGTTATATAGAACTATATCCGGAATTAAACTAACCTGTTATAAAGAAATATATCCGGTATTAAACTAACCTGTTATTATCCGGTATTAAACTAGCCTGTTATATAGAACTATATCCGGTATTAATCTAGCCTGTTATATAGAACTATATCCGGTATTAAACTAGCCTGTTATATAGAACTATATCCGGTATTAAACTAGAATGTTATATAGAACTATATCCGGTATTAAACTAACCTGTTATATAGAACTATATCCGGTATTAAACTAACCTGTTACATACAACTATATCCGGTATTAAACTAACCTGTTATTTAGAACTATATCTGGTATTAAACCAACCTGTTATATAGAACTATATCCGGTATTAAACTAGCCTGTTATATAGAACTATATCCGATATTTAACTAACCTGTTATGTAGAACTATATCCGGTATTAAACCACCTGTTATATAGAACTATATCCAGTATTAAACTAACCTGTTATACAGAACTATATCCGGTATTAAACTAGCCTGTTATATAGAACTATATTCGGTATTAAACTAGCCTGTTATATAGAACTATATCCGGTATTAAACCAACCGGTTATATACAACTATATCCGGTATTAAACTAACCTGTTATATACAACTATATCTGGTATTAATATAACCTATTACATAAAACTATATCCCGTATTAAACTAGCCTGTTATATAGAACTTTATCCGGTATTAAACTAACCTGTTATAAAGAACTATATCCGGTATAAAACTAGCCTGTTATATAGAACTATATCCGGTATTAAACCAACCGGTTACATACAACTATATCCGGTATTAAACTAACCTGTTATATACAACTATATCTGGTATTAAACTAACCTATTACATAAAACTATATCCGGTATTAAACTATCCTGTTATATAGAACTATATCCGGTATTAAACTAACCTGTAATAAAAAACTATATCCGGTAAAAAACTAGCCTGTTATATAGAACTATATCCGGTATTAAACTAGCCTGTTATATAGAACTATATCCAGTATTAAACTAACCTGTTATATAGAACTATATCCGGTATTAAACTAACCTGTTATATACAACTATATCCGGTATTAAACTAGCCTGTTATATAGAGCTATATCCGGTAACAAACTAGAATGTTATATAGAACTATATTCGGTATTAAACTAGCCTGTTATATAGAACTATATCCGGTATTAAACTAACCTGTTATATAGAACTATATCCGGAATTAAACTAACCTGTTATATAGAACTATACCCGGTATTAAACTAACCTGTTTTATAAAACTTTATCCGGTATTAAACTAACCTGTTATATAGAATTATATCCGGTATTAAACTAACCTGTTATATAGAACTATATCTTGTATTAAACTAACCTGTTTTATAAAACTTTATCCGGTATTAAACTAACCTGTTATATAGAATTATATCCGGTATTAAACTAACCTGTTATATAGAACTATATCTTGTATTAAACTAACCTGTTATATAGAACTATATCCGGTATTAAACTAACCTGTTATATAAAACTATATCCGGTATTAAACTAACCTGTTATATAGAACTATATCCGGTATTAAACTAGCCTGTTATATAGAACTATATCTTGTATTAAACTAACCTGTTATATAGAACTATATCGGGGAGCCAAATCTTATCGCACGGGATGAGCATCTTTTCGATTCCGTTAAACTGCTCCGGGTTCCAGGTTAGCAACTGATCCTCCCACTCCTGGTCCAACCAGATATTAGTGGTTAGAACCTGGTTCTTCTCGTCCTACACAATATTTTAATCACAGCCAGTATATAGAGGAATAAAATATGTCTCTTTATTAGATAATACAGTCATAATCAGAATGACCCGGAATTTGTTTATAATTAATCAGACGACTTTACAATCTAATTTTACAAATATGATGAATGAAACGATAATAACAAAATAGCTCTAGTCCTGCCAAAAAATGGTCTGCCTTTATCGTGGGTTTAATATTACCTGGGATATATATATGCCATCTGATTAACTGTCAATTAATTCCGGGTCTTTCTGGTTATGACTGTATCTTAAGAACCCAGCCTTGTCTGGAAACTAAAGTTTCTCTTTAGAAGTCAACCCCATCAACTTAGTATCATTAAACCAAGCTAAGAACATTCCCGTTGTTCTACCGAGATTTGCCTCAAAATATGTGGCAACTCATTCTCGGGGTTCATGAGTTATAATCGGGTATACAAACTAACAAACAGAGATTAATACTTTGTAATATATAGATAATGCCAAAGAGTTTGTTACGGTGATGACTTTGTAATAGTGATATCTACAATTAAAGTGCAATTATTCGGCTAAATTGCAATATTAGTGAACAAATATCTAAAGCATAATTTCATTATTTATGATGTATGAATAAAGCACGGGAGGACTATATAGGGTTAACCATAAAGAATAAGACTTTAATGACGACCTGAAACTTTAATAATTTGACGAACTGAAGGTTAAATTTATTGAAGATATTTCATCCTTTGTGGGTAACCCAGAACCAACATATTGTAATATCTTTTCGGAGTTTGTCTTTCTCTAGTGTGAATTTTAGGATTTTATCAATGTCATGGCACCCTCAAAAGTTTCCAATGCAAATATTCGTTCAAGTATTTTTTTTCCTTTTGAGATAATATTCTTTGTGCATTATTGAACCAGTGAGAAAGAGTTTTCAAATGACAAATTGTTAACAAGGAAATAGATTTTTAAAAAAAAGAAAATTATCTTTTTATTCAAGAAACCTTTTCTTACAGGAGTAAACCTTTCTTCACAGGAGATAACATTTCCTTAAAAGAGTAACCCTTTTCTTATAGGGGTAAACCTTTTCTTATAGGAGTAAACCTTTCTTCACAGGAGATAACCTTTCCTTACAAGAGTAACCCTTTTCTTACATACAGGAATAAAGCTTTACATAAAGGAATAAACCTTAAAGGAGTAAACTTTTCTTTAAGGGACTAAACCTTTCCTTACAGTATTAGAGAACCTTTCCCTAAAGGGCCAGGATAAAACTTTCTTTGTTGGAAAACTCATATCGCATTTTTCAATTTCATATTTTCCTTTAAACCAGAACTTGTTTTCTAAGAAGTGAAAACATATATAAACTTATAATATATATAAAAAGTCTGAAAGGTTTAATTATCAGATAAGCAGTTAAAGAATGAAGATGAAGAACCTATTGTCTGAGATGTTGAACAAATAATTTTATTCTCCCAAAAGTACAAAATCCTGCATTTCCATCTTGTTGCTTCTTTTAAAGAAAAAACTAAAAATATTTTCAGGATTTGAATCTGAATTTAGATGTGCTTTGTGCCAACAAGGTTTTAAGGAATCTTTTGGAACTTTTTAAATGAAAAGATTTATTCTTTTAAAATAAAATCTCAATATATTCTTTTTAGCTAGATATCTTACGAATAAGAATAAATTCTAATTTATAAATTAGTTTGCGGACATATCGTTTCATTTTTAAATCAATATTTAAAACAATCTTTGCTACAACCGTTGTTTTTATAGATAAGTAAATTGTTAGACTTTTAAAATTTGAGCAATGAACATTTTTTTTAATTTTGGAACCTCATTAAAGACACCAAATGATTATTTGATTTTTGTGATATTTGAAAATACATTTTAAGCATGATGGTTTTAAAAAAACAAAGTTTCAACAGAACTTTCATTTTCTTTTAAAAATAAAGAAAATTTAAACATTTAACAATTAGTTCTGGTTTGATTAATTAACAAAATTTTACTAATTCTCATCAATTAATTCTGAAAGAGAAAAGTTTTAGAGAAAAATAAAAGATTAAATTCAAAAGAATCATCCATATATCCCAATGTGTGCACCCCTTCAAATATTATGGGACTTGAGTAAACTATAAGAGACCCCGTTATATAAAACTATATCCGGTATTAAACTAACCTGTTATATAGAACTATATCCTCACTCCACTGCACCCCCTCCCTATCTCTCACCACCCTCAAACCTTTCCCCATTTCAATGTTTTATAAATCTTTAATTTTAACAGTTTCTCCAAGGTCCAGGTTTGTCTCCAAGGTCCTGGTTTGTCTCCAAGGTCCAGGTTGGTCTTTATGTCCTGGTTTGTCATTAGGTCCTGGTTTGTCTCCAAGGTCCAGGTTAGCCTTTAGGTCCTGGTTTGTCTTTAGGTCCTGGTTTGTCTCCAAGGTCCAGGTTGGTCTTTAGGTCCTGGTTTGTCATTAGGTCCTGGTTTGTATCCAAGATTTAGGTTTGTCTCAAGGTTCTGGTTTGTCTCAAAAGTTCTGACTTATTTTTAGGTCTTGGGTTGTTTTTAGTCCTGGTTTATGTCCAAGGTCCTGGTTTGTCCCAAAGGTCCTGAGTTCTCTTTACAGGTCCTGGTTTGTCCCAAAGGTCCTGAGTTCTCTTTACAGGTCCTGTTTTGTCTCCAGGTTCCTAGTTCAGTCTGCTTTATCACAAGAAATAGATCTGGACCACAGACAATCCTTCTTTCCTCCACTCAAGGTGAACCATGACAAGAAAGCCCCAGTGATGGATGCTTTCTGAATACTAGAGACCAGATTCATACACTATCATTTATTATGTAAACATGGATATATTGCTTTGATGGGTTCAAGGTGGGGGGGGGGGGGCATTGAAGATGATGCTTTTTAAATAAGGTACCCCTAAACTACCTAAATTAGAAAGGGGGGGGAGGAATTATATTAACTGCACTTAAACATATCTTTATTAACTTGTACTTACAGATTTATTTATTTATTTGCATCTTTAAAATTACGGAATTAATGCAACTCTTGATTGATCCTTACTTTCACAATCTATGATCTATCCATCCTACTAAAATCTTTAATCAATCAATCAATAAATCATTCGACTCTTTACCTGGATTACTAAGATTATTTCTCTTTCATAAATATGTTTGATCCGAAGATATACATGTATACATACATATACTGTGTATAAACAAATTGTGTTATATCTCCAGCCGTCTATATCTGTACAATAATATCTACTGGACTTTTCTGATTGTATATCTGTACAATAATATCTACTGGACTGTTCTGATTTAATTATGAATATGAATCAAGTAAAATGGGAGTAGGATAAACTAAAAAGACAGGCGGGAGGGTTTGGAATACATGAAATATATGGAATATATTGAATATATTGAATACATGAAATATATGGAATATATGGAATATATGGAATATATGGAATATATGGAATATATTGAATAGATGAAGTATGTCAATTTCTATCTTATTGTTTAAATATATATATCTATACAATAGTAAATATAATCAAATATGCAGGGGGAACTCGATTTTTCGTGTTTGTAAGCTTAAAATTATACTATCGAAAGGAACCAAGTCCAAAGATGTTTCTGAGTTACAGAACGATCAAAGCTTTATTTTGTTTTTATGAAGGTAAAAGATTAATTTACGTTGTTTATTCTTGATTAACGAGCAGATATTTATAAGGAATAATATGCCTAAGCCAAAAAGCTTAAAACTAATGATAGTTAAGTTTATGAAATCTGTCATTCAGCATGAAAAAAAGATTTAGTCCGTCACGCATTGTCTGTCATGTTATTGAAGAAAAAGATGAAGTGTAAGATTAAGTTACACTTTAGTCCGTTATGAACACATGGAACACATTAATTGTGGAGTGGACAAAAACCTACTTCACTAATAAGTTGATATTTATACTAATACCAGGGAATAGGAATAAAAGGAAGGACAATAGCGCTGGTCTGGCATGAGAAAGCCAGTCTCACTGCTTTACAGACGAGTTCGGCATTACACACGCACACTGCATGACTACAGTCAAGGAAATTATAGAACAATGTCGTCAATCAAAATTAAGTTTGATAACGAGTAGTTTATTGTAAACTTTAATCAAACTATATTTTTTGCATGAAAATTTGGCTTTTAGTGTTGACTTAAATATGTAAACACTATATTACATGTATATTAAACTTATTTTTAAGTAAACAGTACACGTCTTCGGTTCGGTATTTCTTACACGCACTCTTTTGGTACAGACACACGAACATGACGTTTCCGCCCCCTGGCTAATACACTCGCAGGATCATTTTTATACAAACTTGAAATCTACATAAAAGTACAAAAATGTCATCTTACTATTCCAGAGTTTTATGGGTGCCACTGTATGAAATGAATCCAATAATGAATAGTATACTAACCATATCAAATATCTGAGTGAGGGTGATTCCAACACGGACTTCTACAGCATGGCTGGCGTTATATACAGGTCTAACCTCCCTGTATCATCATCATCATCGTTATCATCATCATTAAAATTATTGACATTAATAATTATTAGTATTATTGACATTATTATTATAATCACAATATGTGAATTACCATTTTTAATATCATCGTTATCATTAACATAATCTTTTTTCAACAAAGGGAGTGACTGGCAATGTATGGTAGTTGAACTAACTGAGAATGCAGTATTGTGGAGAATTTTTTTAGGATTCAATTGATACATATAAAACGTTTAAATAATGTATAATTACTGAGTTTGAGCCCAACGTCGACGTTAAAAATCATCCATTTAGGTGGTTACGCTTTTACGACATTTGAAGAAATCTGCGAACTAATTCGTAAAGAATAAGAAATTCAATATAATGATGAAAAAGAAATAGTTTATTCTAACATTGATTTACTTACAAATTTCTAATAAGAAATATGTTTCTAACGTAACCAACCAAATGGAAGACTTTGTGATCAAACTCAGTAATAATACATTATTAAATGTTTTATATGTCTCAAATGAATCCTAAAAAGATTCTTCACAATACTACATTCTCAGTTTAACTACCATACATTGCCGGTCACTCCCTTTAAGAAGGTTAATTTTATCAGTATGCTCATCATTATTATTGTAATGAATGTTATTATTATCACCATAATAACCATAATTATAAAGTCGGTAATACGGACATTGTCTTAACCCTATCCCCGCTGGGGTACTTGAATTTGAACCCCTCCCCCCTCTAAATCCCATGTTTTATGTCCAAATATGACAAATGATACATCATTAGAAAGCTCTTGTGCTCTACTTTTAGAATCTGCAAACAAATTTGCAAATTTGCGAAAATTTAATTTTTTATCGCAAAATCCAGTTTTATAGTAAAAATGTTTGCAAAAAAAAATTTGTCCAAAAAATGACAAATTATACATTTTTGAAAAGCCCTTGACCATGCCATTTCAAATATGCAAAAATTTTTGCAAAATTTTAAATAACCTGATTTTTAATCAAGAAAAACTAAAAATGTGCAAATTTTCTTTGACAGGTTGTTTGCAAAAAATTTGCAATTTTTTTTTCGCAAAACTTGGACAATCCGTTTCCTTATGTCATAGGCTTTCCAAAAAGCTAAATTTTATCAAAATCTGACAAGTGAAAGTGGGTCAAAACAAAGATTTAGTTTGCTACAGGCAAAAGCAGTCATTCAGGCAGTGTGCCTGAGGACTCAGGCAGTTAGTATTAAAGCCCGGTTTTAGGCCTAAAGGGAGGGCTTTGGGTATGTAAGAAAAGTCAGAAAATTTCAACAGCCTCAGACCAATACTTTTTGAGTTATGTAAAAAAAACTACAGGGAATAGGGTTAAATTGTCAAGATTATTGGCTAAAATTTAAAAACCTTTTACTAAATCCAAGCAAAATTAGAATTGGAGGTGAAAGTACAAATAAGGAAAAAATAGTTGACCCCCTCCTCCCATGCACAATTCACCACACTTTCTTGATTAAATGGTGCCCCCCCCCCCTCTACACTTGTATTAGATTATGCTCGACTGTTGGCCGACAGATATTTGATTAAACGCAGATATAACAGAGAAAACAAGAAAATATTACAACTACATTGTGTCCCAGTCTCCAATACAGTGTCCCAGTATCCTATACAGTGTCCCAGTATCCTATATAGTGTCCCAGTATCCTATATAGTTTACCAGTATCTATATAGTTTACCAGTATCCTATACAGTGTCCCAGTATCCTATATAGTGTCCCAGTATTTAATACAGTGTCCCAGTATCCTACATAGTATCCTATACAGTGTCCCAGTATCCAATACAGTGTCCCAACTCCCAGTATCCCATATAGTTTACCAGTATCCTATACTGTGTCCCAGTATCCTATATAGTTTACCAGTATCCTATACAGTGTTCCAGTATCCTATATAGTGTCCCAGTATTCAATACAGTGTCCCAGTATCCAATACAGTGTCCCAACTCCCAGTATCCTATATAGTTTACCAGTATCCTATACTGTGTCCCAGTATCCTATATAGTTTACCAGTATCCTATACAGTGTCCCAGTATCCTATATAGTGTCCCAGTATTCAATACAGTGTCCCAGTATCCTACACAGTATCCTATACAGTGTCCCAGTATCCTACATTATGTCCCAGTATTCTATGCAGTGTCCTAGTATCCAATATAGTGTCTCAGTATCTTATATATTTTTCCAGTATCCTTTTTTGTCCCAGTATTCTGTATAGTGTCCCAGTATCCAATATAGTGTACCATTATTCTATATAGTGTCCAAGTATCCTACATTGTGTCCCAGTATCCTATATAGTATCCCGGTATCCTATATAGTGTCCCAGTATCCTAAATTGTGTCACTTCAGTTTCATGTATCCCAGTGTCCCAGTATCCTATATATTATGCCAGAATTTTGTTCTATTCTCTAAACGTTTGGGATTGCTNGAGTTTAAGTAACCGAGAAATATTTGCTAGGACTGGTCAAAGTACGAGTTCTCTAACTGCTTCCACTCTCTGCAGTCAATGATTTCTGCTCTAAAAACTCCTGATCGAGATGGGAAACAGATTGTTAAATTTTATCACAAGGATTCAAGTTTATAAAACTAAAATTTTAGGGAATCGTTCAGACAGAAAGAATGGAACTTGTTTATTCCAAAAAAGATTTGAATCAAAGCGTCTAGGTACTCTTTTAATACAAAAAAGAGTGATCCAAGGGGCAAACCCTCGTGCAAAAGTTAATGAGGTGTTTACCAATTACTTTTGCCAATTCTAAAAAAGTATAAGTAAGTTAGTGAGGTAAAATGAAAGACGACCCAGTCTTAAAATTCATGATACTTTTAACATTAGTCTGGATATTTGCATTTTTTTATCCAAACAAACCAATAAAAAGCCCAATTCTGGTGTCATAGACCTTTAACATTTAAAACTGTGAGTTTTGCTTCAGTAAATAGTCATAGTTTAAAATATCAAATGTTTTCCCCATCTTGTTGCAAAGATATAGGGATTGGGAAATTAGAATGTTAGGTGAGTAATCATTTCTGAAATCTAATTAATTAAAATTTAGATGATTGAATCTAGAATGTAGTTAAGGAATTGGGTTCAAAGTTTAGGATTTGCTAATGGAAGTTAAAATTGAGGTTGAAAGTTTTAGTAGTCAATTTGTGAAAACAATAGATATTTTCAAATTTACACTGAAAATTTTAAAACAAAAAAATATTATTTCTAGGACAAGATAAAAAAGAAACTATGATAAAAGAATGCACCCAATGTTACCCAATATTGGTATTATATATCGTACTAGCTTAGGAGCTTTTCCCGAGAATTAAACTTTCGTTAATAAAAACCAACCCACTGAACTTAGAATTTTTGAACTAAATTAGGAATATAACCATGGATGTACCGACACACCAATCAAAATTTCGATCAAAGGGATTATGATTTATGGTAGGTCATCGAAACAAGCAGACATTACTACTTTACATGTATATTTATATATATTGATTTATCCACTTATGAATACCCTCCCCTGCACTAATGACTTAATTTAATTTAATATTTAAATGAAGTGTAAGCATAATTTCAAGTGACTAGATCCATTTGTAGAGCTGCTTATCCGATCAAGGCTCCGATTCGACTGATTAAATCAGACTTTGTAGCAAGCTGTTTTATATTAAAGAAACCTTGATATTTACTTTCTTTTAGTTGAAGATGCTATATCGTTACTTTTGAAATTTTAAAACCCCTTTGGACATTAAACATTCTGTATTTCGTCAGCTGAGTTGAGTTCACACTATACGCTAGCGTAAACGCCGGATTTACGGGAACTTGAACGATATTTGGAAGATATAAACCTGGAGTTCTCTTGCCTTGAAGAACAGTCTAAGGGTTAAAGGGTACTGATGTAAATCGGTCGGTGGCATCTTCGCATGGAGAGTCAATTGAAATTACGCTTACAGTCCCATTAAACCCTTCCCCTCCCATACACTTTTTACAGCGTATGCCCTACCTCTCCATTGGTAAAGTGATATTGTCACCCTCCCCTTTTATAACAGTGTATCACCCCACTCATTAGATATAGGGTCTGGACCCCCCCCCCACCACAATTCATTTAATACTTTGTATCCCCCATCCCCTGCACCCCTTCCCTCCACTTATTTAATACAGTTTATCACCCCAATCCTTCACTTTTAGTGGTCATTACACTCAACCCAGCTCAGCTTGTATACTTATGGTTCTACACAGTCTACAATTACATAAGTTACTTTTATATAATTTGAATATTTTCTCAGATCAAAAAAAAGGAGCAGTTCTACAGTCTACACGCTTTCGCCCATGCTTTACACACTAAAAAAATATCTAAAATTTCCTTTTGTTGTTTAGTCAAATGCTTTTCTTAAGTCCAACCCCAGCTAACTGACTTTAATTGATGTTTTTTTTTGTGTGTGAAATCAATTAGTTGAATAAGACTGGGGTTCTTTTTTAATTAATGTTCTGCTCTCCCTGCTATTGGTGGTATAACTACATTTAGTTCACCTGAAATTATTCTATCAATTCAGTTCAGTTTTAACGGCATTTCAAGGCAATTTTAAATGATTCTAAAAGTAAAGATTGAACTTTTTTATCCTGTTTATATAGAACCAACGATGATGGAGAGATTCTAGTTTTTATATTATTATGTAACTAATAACTAAAGTGCCCGGCGTTGCCCGTGGACTTTTTTTAAAATCGAATTTTCAAAAAAAAATACTTCGATTTAAAAAAAAAAAAAATTTTTTTTGCCTATGTTCCCCCCGGTCCAGCCGTTTAGCCAGCAATAGCTAACATACAAATATATGCATATACAAATATATCTTCTTAAAATAAGTCTATACAAATATATTATATATGAGTGAAGAGCTTTATTATACAGATATATATATATAAAGTAGTAATCTCTGTTTGTGTGTTTGTTTGTGTGTCCGATTTTTACTGAGGAACTTGCTAAAGCCAGGGTTATATTCTTTGCTTGGTTTAAAACGTTAAGTGGTTAAATATTTTAGAGAAACCTAGGTATAGGATATTGCACTCTCCATGTTTTTACTCAACTATGAAAAGGATAGAATTTGAATAATTAGTTCTATAGAAAGTCTAAGAAAATGACGCCTAAATCCACAGAAATAATCATTCAAAGCTTCAGGATTTTTTTTCTTAGAATAATTCGTTTCAAGAGAAAATAAAAATGAATATAATTTAAATTCTTCTAGAGAATTTTTTCTTTTTTAAATGAAATTCCCATTACAAAGCATATTTTCTTACTTTAAAAACACATAAACGAACTGAAATTCTTAGAAAAAAGTTTAGGTGAAAATACTGAATAGATAAAGTAAAACCTTTCAGCAAATTCATAACAACTGTAAAATTAAAAATTCTAAGAAAAAGAAGAAAAAAACAATGTAAAAGTATCTAATGGCAAAAAATAAAAAAGTGACAAAAATATATTTTATAAATTCATACACGAATTTATTTTTGTGACCACTGTATATAATTTGAATGATACAGCTGAATACTCTACTGGGAATATGTTCATATTTTACTACAATTCATGTTTTAAACGTGAATAAAATAAAAGGGAAAGTTACTAGAACGATATGTGAAACAAAGGAACTCATTTGAGTTTATTTTAAGTTATTTATATTATTTTCATTAGTTAACACCTCAAAGTTTGATGTTTTAAAAACATAATAAACAAGGTTAAAATAAACCCCTACATTCTAAATAAAGAGATTCTAAATAAAGAGATTTGAGTTTATTTTAATTTATTCATATTATTTTCATTAGTTAACACCTCAAAGTTTTATGTTTTAAAAACATAATAAACAAGGTTAAAATAAACCCCTACATTCTAAATAAAGAGATTGAAAGTTAAGACTCACTGACTATCAATCTACAATCTACCTGAATTAATTTCACCCCATTCTAAACCCTTTATCAATGAATACATGATCAAAAACACAAAAAAACTGAAGCCTTTCATTTTTACCAACCCGAAACAGGCTGGAGACCTCCCCCCCCCCAGGATTTACATAGATTTAGACGCCCAGGTTAAAGGGGTTAACTTTTGTGTACATAAATAAATCATCAAATAAATAGAATATCCCTTTATCTTTAGAGAGCCCCCCCCCCCCCATAGACGTCAATATTAGAGTTGATGAAAATCTTGTAAATAATAATAATACTCATATTTCTCATTAAATGACCCGGTACTTCAGACGTCCAGATTGACTGGTTAGTCAACCCATTTCATCCCAACAAGTATATTCTCCGTGTTTTCATATAAATACATTTGATGTGCTGTAGGTTTTGCATATTGAAGGTCGATTCTAAGCGTAAATTAGAATAAACCTCCATGCAAAGATGGCAATGCCCGATTTACAACAGCACCATTGAAACCTTATTCTGATCAAAAATATTGAAGAAACCGTCGTTTTTCTAACTCGAAAAGTGTTAATTTAATTCTGTTTTTTCTTCAATGCTTCTTATTAAAAAGAAAAGCGCAAGTCACTTTCGCAAAGAACCGCAAATGAAAAGGAACAGTTTAAAGAAACAAAAACATTGATATTCTAATTCATACTTGATCTGAAAAAGCTGTCAAGGGAACCTTTGTAAATCGGGATGATCTGAAAAAGCTGTCAAGGGAACCTTTGTAAATAGGGAATTTTCACATGGGTCGCTTTAAGTTACGCTTACAATCCCCCCAACATGAATATTGAATAGGGTCTAAAACGTCTGGTAGATCAAAACTTGACTGACTTTTTTCCGATACGACGGACTCTTAATATGTTGCTAATATCGATAGATGATGTTCCTGTCATAAGTAGACATGAGGTAGTTGAGAAGTCTGGACTCCTCCTGCTCCGGTCTCCCCCTTCCCGTCCCACCCTTCTCCGGGTCCCCCTGAGTACTGTTCAACCTGATCCCATCCTTCCCTTTTTCCGGGTCCCCTGGAGTACTGCGGAGTCCCTCCTGTGCTATATTCAATGTACCCTTCTTGCTCCTTCCCATGGAGATATTTTGAACCTTGTTTTCCTTGTTCCTCTGAACTCCTGTATCCTGACTCCTTCAAACAAAGAGATAAAGATAAGAGAGCCATAAGCCGTTTGGATAGCTTATCATCTTGCATATGGAATATTTATATTTAAATTTTCAAACCCATAAACCTGTGCAAGATATTTTTCTGAATTATCTAAAAGTTAAAGTTTATAATATCAAAAGTTTACACTATCAGGTTCCAAAGATATAGAAATGATAAAATTGGAATTTGTGGCAAGTGCTGTTCCTTTGAGTAATCCAGTTTGAAACTTAAAAGATTAGCTAGTAGTTTCTTCAAAAGTTTCTAACTCCGACATTCTTTATCTATTTGTTTACCTTGAAATATCCTTGTCATCTTCCCCCTCCCTCATCCCTGTACTCTCCAGGCAACAAACATCTAAAACAGGTTTAAAATTAGTTAAAACAAAACGAAAACGTGGGAATTAAAGAGACTGTACGCGTAATTTCATGCGACCCTCCATGCAAAGATGGCAATGCCCGATTCACAACTGTACCTTTAAAAGCTTTGTCTGCTCAAGTATAAATTATACAACAATATCTTCCACATTATTGATCAGATAAAGGTTTTTGTTTTGAATCGGGTATTGCCATCTTCGCATGGAAGTTTACTTGAAAGTACACTCCCTTTAAGCTTATTTTCTTTGATCCAAGCGGCATTAATACAGTTAAAAAAATTGTCTATGAAAATAATAAGTTTTGGTATTTAAAAATGTTTTAAACGATAGTTTTTTTGCTTCGTTGTTTTCCTCTTTAGAGAAATATTTTGCATAATTCAATAAAGTAAACACAGAATACACACTTCCAATGTTTCACCCTCCGCAGGTTTTAAAAGTCCAAAAATTTTTTTAAAACGAACCAATTTATTGGTCATCACTCGGTCTTCTCTGAAATCTTATATTTATTGGGAAACCAAGCAGTAATATTAGTCCTAACAAAATATCAAACAGTTTTGAGAGGACATCTTTGATTGTAGGATAAAGATAAATTTTCTTGTTTTCTGTTTAATGCTTATCATTTTTTACAGTCAGAAAACCAAACCTACATTTAAAGAAAGAATTTCCTCAAGAGTTTCTATTTTTTCTGAAATAACATGAATGTTGTTTCTAGCGTCTATAGATATTTATTTAGTTGAGAAGAGAGTGTGGTTTCATGGTCTGATGGTTAGGAAATTATACAAAAGTATCCAAGGCGAAACCGACCAAATTCTTAAAACATTAAAACTTCATTTTTCCTTAGAAAAGTAAATTTCATGCTTAAAGTAACCTTGACAAACAAGTTTAGATTTTTTAAAATGCATACTAGGTTTCGCCCTTCATAATTATAAATTACAAACTATGATCGTTTTCGCCCAACAAACCAACCGACCATTGTTGGTTTGACACTATTTTCTCCTAAATCAACCAAACTTGAATAAGTTTGTCCTGCACCCCACCATGGTTGGTTTTGCCCTGCATTACCATACGCTAAGAGACTATGGTTGGTTTCGCTCTGCATTTCCATACGCTAAGAACCCATGGTTGGTTTCGCCTCAAATATCCAACGCTAATAAATCATGATAGGTTATGCCCTGCATTATCCTACGCTAAGAATCCATGGTTGGTTTCGCCTCCATTATCCAACGCTAATAAATCATGATAGGTTATGCCCTGCATTACCCTACGCTAAGAATCCATGGTTGGTTTCGCCTCCATTATCCAACGCTAATAAATCATAATAGGTTATGCCCTGCATTATCCTACGCTAATAAACCATGGTTGGTTTCGCCCTGCATTATCCTACGCTAAGAAACCATCATTGGTTTTGCTCTGCATTATCCTACGCTAAGAAACCTTGGTTGGTTTCTCCCTGCATTACACTACGCTAACAAACCATGATTAGTTTTGTCCTGCATTACTCTAATCTTAGAAACCATGGTTGGTTTCGCCCTGCATTATACTACGCTAAGAAACTATGGTTGGTTTCTCCCTGCATTACACTACGCTAAGAAACCATGATTAGTTTTGCCCTGCATTACTCTAGGTTTAGAAACCATGGTTGGTTTTGCCCTGCATTATACTACGCTAAGAAACCATGAATGTTTTCACCCCGCATTATACTACGCTAAAAACCATGGTTGGTTTCGCCCCGCATTATACTACGCTAAAAACCATGGTTGGTTTCGCCCTGCATTATACTACGCTAAGAAACCAGAACATATTCTTACTCGTTCACTCAACTGATACTTCTGCAGATGATTTATATAATAGTAAACGAATAAATGTAAAGACCAAAGTCTTTAGCAGAGATTGTGCTAACGTCAAGGCTATGTGTTGATACCAAATGCAACTTTAGTTCTATTTAAAAGCAAGACTAAAGTCGACAATAGTCTTGAGTCTAATTTTCTTAGACTCTTTTCTAATGTTGAAAGTTAGACCCGACTCTAATGAGTTTTGTCGGAATGATTTACTGGTTCTTGAATTGGACTCTACTATAAGTAAAGTTAGTCCCATCATACTCAAGGGCTCATGTCAAGTCAGCTTATTTTTTTAAGTGAGTAAACGGCATTGTATGGTAGTTGAACTGAGAATTCAGTATTGTAGAGACATTTTTTAGGATTCCTTGAAACTTATGAGACAAAACGATGCATATTTGTTCAGCGAGAGCGCAAATTCAATTTTTAAAACCCACATAGATTTTTCATTTTGAAGGGATGATTTTGAGAATCGAGTTTTCAAAAATTATTAGATATCGACGACGAAAAATGTAACAAAATTCGACAGAAAAGTTAAATGTTTAGGAACATATTTCTCAATAGAAATTTGTCAATAAATTAGTGTTATATTAAATTTCGCTGATTTCTACAGAAAACGTTCGGCGACTTAATAATAATAGAAATATGCACAAACTTAAATAAAGAACTTTAGATTCATGTATGAACATATTCTTGAATATAGAAACTAGAATTAACCGTGGATGAATGTATACCTGAATACAGGATGGAAACTAGGAGGAATACTAGATGAATATATATCTGGATACAGGATGGAAACTAGAAGGAATACTAAATGAATGTATACCTGAATACAGGATGGAAACTAGGAGGGATACTAGATTAATAAATACCTAGATACAGGATGGAACCTAGGTGGAACCCTAGATGAATGTATACCTGGATACAGGATGGAAACTAGGAGGAATACTAGATGAATGTATACCTAGATACAGGATGGAAACCATGAGGAACCCTAGATGAATGTATACCGGATACAGGATGGAACCTAGGTGGAACCCTAGATGAATGTATACCTGGATACAGGATGGAAACTAGGAGGAATACTAAATGAATGTGTCCCCGGATACAGGAAAGAACCTAGGTGGAACCCTAGATGAATGTATACCTGGATACAGGATGGAAACTAGGAGGAATACTAGATGAATGTATACCTTGATATAGGATGGAAACTAGGAGGAATACTAGATGAATGTATACCTGGATACAGGATGGAAACTAGGAGGAATACTATATGAATGTATACCTGGATACAGGATTGAAACTAGGAGGAATACTTGATGAATGTATACCTGGATACAGGATGGAAACTAGGAGGAATACTAGATGAATGTATACCTGAATACAGGATGGAAACTAGAAGGAATACTAGATGAATATATACCTGAATACAGGAAGGAAACTAGGAGGAATACTAGATGAATGTTTACCTGAATACAGGATGGAAGCTAGGAGGAATACTAGATAAAAATATACCTGGATACAGGATGGAACCTAGATGGAACCCTAGATGAATGTATGCCTGAATACAGGATGGAAACTAGGAGGAATACTAGATGAATGTATACCTGGATACAAGATGGAAACTAGGAGGAATACTAGATACAAATATACCTGGATACAGGATGGAATCTAGGTGGAACCCTAGATGAATGTATACCTGGATACAGGATGGAAACTATGTGGAATACTAGATGAATGTATACCTGGATACAGGATGGAATCTAGGAGGAACCCTAGATGAATGTATACCTGGATAAAGGATGGAATCTAGGAGGAACCCGAGATGAATGTATACCTGAATACAGGATGGAAACTAGGTGGAACCCTAGATGAATGTATACCTGGGTACAGGATGGAATCTAGGAGGAACCCGAGATGAATGTATACCTGGATACAGGATGGAATCTAGGGGAAACCCTAGATGAATGTATACCTGGATACAGGATGGAATCTAGGGGGAACCCTAGATGAATGTATACCTGAATACAGGATGGAAACTAGGAGGAATACTAGAAGGCGGATAACCGCAAACCGGAACATCCGGAGGAGGCATTAATCTGGGATGAAACCCATCCCATCTAACTCCATGTCATGATGAAACCTGAAAAAAAATCTTAATGTATTTTAGCCAATATAATTAGGTATATTACAATACAATTAAAATAAATAGTTTTATCACTTGCTCTAAAACTAATGATGAAAAATAGGCCTGCTTTCTGCACAGCTGCTGTGTTTCAGGTTTATTTGAGTATTTAAAGTCATAACTTAGTCTAACAGTCGTATTCATGTTCTGCAATTTTATTGGTATCACTGTATTCTTGTATACATTTTTAAAACATCAGAAACCCGGATCACGTTTATTTTTAATTCAACCCTCGGAATTCAAATCATAATTGCATTATATATAATACATATTTATTAATATATATATATTCACACAGTGTACTGTGTAGCTATGCAACATCCAATACAAAAATCCAGGTTTTAAATAAGTATGTTTTTAAATATTATAATCAACTTTTTCACACGTAATAAGTGTGAAAAGAAACTGTACAAGTAATGATCAAATTACATGCAAAGAAGACGAAATAAATCTGTGATTTTTTTTTGCTTCATCGGCATGTGAATAAGAGATTAAATTAATAAAGAAATATTGTTGAACCATATTGTTAAATATATCAGATTTAAGAAGTATTAAGCTGAGTGCTGGGTCCAAATATGATTGTTTGAAATGCAAATGGAAGGGTTAAACGAGAATTTTAGTTTAGTTATGAATAATAAAACTTGTTGATGTGAAAACACGGAAAATGGTTTCTAACTTTAAATGTCGTGGTTTATGGCTTCCATTCATGCAACATCTACTCCATAGATAATTCTAGAAGGTTGATTCAAAAGAAAATTTCTGAGATATTTGGATGTGAAAGAATTAATTCATTTTTTAAATGAAATACTCTGAACAAATTTTCTGCCTTCGTCATCTTGACAAAAATTGAATAAGTAAGTAAGTAAGTAAGTAATTAATTATTTATGAAAACATACAAAAACATACAAAATTAATAGTTTTAATAGAAAATATTTAAAAACCTCCAAAAATAGAGGTTGTGGAATTATTAATTAAAGTTTTTTTTTCAGAAATATTCATATTTTTACAAAGAAATTGAGTCTTTGCCACAAACGCTGATTTTCTAATTTCTATATCTTTGCAACCCAATGTCGTAGACCTTAGTTATTTCAAACTATTAACTCTGTTAATAAATCAAATAATCTAAGTTTGAAATACTAAAGGTTAACAGACTCAATTCCTTTACTTTTTATTTGACCATTAAACCTTAAAAAATCATAATTTTTATAATTAATGATGTTTTAGGAATCAGTATGGTCATCTTTATGTTTTCTTTGTTTAAAGAATGTGCACATGAACGGCTCTTCTTCTGTATATTTTTGTATTGTATATTAATAAAGTAAGTATATAATGTATGTATTTGCTTTATACACTGGTTTATTGGTTTGGAGGAATACTATTAGCAGAAGCCAATATATACAATGAGGTGGTCAGAATCTTANGGGGGGGGGCGGGGTAGATTAATACAGATATTAATTCACAAAAAAAGAAAATTCTTCAACTTTACTATAGGTATTGTTTGTTTTATGCTTGAAGAAGAAAGGTAATAGGTAAAGATTCAATGTCCAAAATAATTTGATTTTAATGCATGTTTACAAATACTAATCAAAAAAGCTTCGTTGTAATTTGAAATATGTACGTTTACATATCCTACTTTGTATTTTAATACATGCTTTCATATGTACTTCTTAAAAGACCTATAAAAATACATGTTTATATATACTGCTTAAAAGAGCTTCTTTGTATTCTAATATATTTTTATACATATATACTACTTAAAAGAATTTTTAATTTATTTTTACATCTACGTTTATATAGGCTACTTAGAAGAGGTTCTTTGTATTAATAATACAAATGTTTATACTACTCTAAAGAGGTTCTTTGTGTTCTAATACATGTTTACATATATACTGCTTAGAAGAGTTTCTTTGTATTTTAATACATGTTTACATATATACTGCTTAAAAGAGTTTCTTTGTATTATAGTACATGTGTTTATACTACTCCAAAGAGGTTCTTTGTATTCTTAATACATGTTTATACATATATACTGCTTAAAAGAGGTTCTTTGTATTATAATACATGTGTTTATTCTACTCCAAAGAGGTTCTTTGTGTTCTTAATACATGTTTACATATATACTGCTTAAAAGAATTTCTTTGTATTATAGTACATGTGTTTATACTGCTCCAAAGAGGTTCTTTGTATTCTTAATACATGTTTATACATATATACTGCTTAAAAGAGGTTCTTTGTATTAATAATACAAGTGTTTATACTACTCCAAAGAGGTTCTTTGTGTTCTAATACATGTTTACATATATACTGCTGAAAAGAGTTTCTTTGTATTATAGTACATGTGTTTATACTACTCCAAAGAGGTTCTTTGTATTCTTAATACATGTTTATACATATATACTGCTTATTAAAAGAGTTTCTTTGTATTATAGTACATGTGTTTATACTACTCCAAAGAGGTTCTTTGTATTCTTAATACATGTTTATACATATATACTGCTTAGAAGAGGTTCTTTGTATTCTTATACAAGTGTTTATTCTACTCCAAAGAGGTTCTTTGTATTCTTAATACATGTTTATTCATATATACTGCTTAAAAGAGGTTCTTTGTATTCTTAATACATGTTTACATTTATTACCCATAATTATATTGTATGTTTGTATCCAATAAACACTAAAACGGCTGAACCGATCAAGCCAGAGAAAGGATAGATTTATATTATATATATAGACGGTCGAAATTTAAAAAATGTTGCCTAGAATAATGTAGATGTTTAATTATTTAAAAATTCATCGATGTAAACAGAAAAAATCGCAAAATTTTGTTTCACCATCTACGAAAAAATAACGCCGTGAAAAGCAACATTTAAAGGCTTAAATGTTGATAGAAAAGACTCGAAAAGTATTATTTAGCATAAACTTACATTTGCCGAAATATATCATATATTTATGTCTATATCTAAATATATTTGTTGTTTAATGATGTGTATGCCCCCCCCCCCATATGTATCATCATATATACTGTATGTTCAAACACTGTATGTTAATAGGTTTTTATGGCAAATTATTGATGGGAATATGAATAGAAAAAAAAGATAAAAAGCATGAAAGAATGAAATAGTTGTAATTTCTAAAACATATAGGCCATCGAGTTTGCTTTAAAGGACAAGAGATAAAAGGAACATATGGCGTGTACATCAGGGAAAAGAGGGAAATGTCCTATCCTAGAATTTTGGCCAAGGAGTATGGAATAGAAGGGAGATACAGCTGACGCAGCCCGCCCTACCATATGATTATACATGCTTTGCAGACAGCACTTTTGTCTGATGTACAATTACCGAGTATTCAATAACATATTCTGAATATTTCTCATACAAATGGAGTACCGCCTGCAAAGCATGTTTAATCATATGGTACGGCAGTCCGCGTCAGTTGTATCTCCCTTCTATTCTATACTCCTTGATTTTGGTACTTTTCCCCTAGGTAAAATCCTGTATACGCATCGTAAAAATTTTCAAAAGTATATATATCTCAGGTTTGAGAAACATCGAAACCTTTAGAATTGTGTAGATTTATTCAAACTCTAAAATATAAACTAAAAACAATTTAAATTGTATATATTTATTAATAAACTGTTGAAACCTGTGATCTGTAAAAATACTGAAAATCCAGTAAATGAATTATTGAAATTGTAAAAATGGAAAAGCCATTATTGGATAAAATATGAATTGAAAAGTGGCCCCAGGAAAACATATTAAATTCTAATTTAAAAATGTTATCAATAAGGAATATGCAAAGAAAATCTTTTGGTCACTTGTCAATAGTCAATTGTCAGGTAATCCAGATGATCAGAGCTTGAACATTGTATGAGTAGTATAGTTAATCTTTAACCTTAATCTCGATATCCAATTTAGGCACTTTTAAGTTTGAGAATAAACACTAGATCTTTCAATTGAAGTTATCCCTACAGGGTATGACCACAACGAGATATCGAAGAGGAATTAATTTGATCCGAAGATCAGCATTAAGATGCAGATCAAAGCTTGATCCAGAGATTAGCAACACAAAAGTTCTGAATTCTGCAATTTCTGTTTTTTATATATAAAAATCTCTCCTAATTTTAGTCTAGAATGTTGGCCTAGAGGTCTGAAAGATTTATTTTTAATTTTCCTAATTAAGTGCCCGGTGTTGCCAGTGTACTTTAAACATCGTCGAACCTACTGGCAAAATAACGGCGAATCTGAGGGATAAGCCATCCTTTGTTACCCAGCTAAGTGTTTCGGTTTGGTCAGCTATAGGTAGCTGTTAAATATAGAGGATCTCAAGATAGAACCAAAAGAGAATAGTTCTAAAGGAGTTCAACATAGAACCAAAGAGAATAGTTCTAAAGGAGTTCAAGATAGAACCAAAGAGAATAGTTCTAAAGGATCTCAAGATAGAACCAAAGAGAATAGTTCTAAAGGGTCTCAAGATAGAACCAAAGAGAATATTGATATCTGAAAAACATTTAATTTTTCCAATATTAATTTTTTTTCTATGTGCTAGAAATTGTTGATTTTGGTTGGAGTGTGTAAAACTCAAACAAAAATAACACAATATTTCCAACAAACTTTTAAAAACATTTTTTGTAATTTTTGAGATTTTGATTACTTAAGTTTGAAAAGAAATATTCGACACTTTTCTAAAAACCTGAAACTATTTTCTTAAAATAATAAATCTCCAGTATATTTTTATCGTCTGGGACTTTGAAAGTAATTGTAAGATTAAAACTAGACCATGTGTAATATAAACATTGTTTAAAGTTTTTAAGGAACATTTTATTGAACAAAAAATTCAATTTTTAAATGTTGGGAAGGAGAGAAGATTTTAAATCCCAGGTTTCTGAGAATTGATTAAACTAATTATGAAACTAGAATTAAACTAAACCTTGGAGAAGAAAATGTTAAAAGATTGAAACATTA